CTGTTGTCAGCAGCGCCCTGTGCCTGCGCCTTCCCATCCCAACAGCCTCCAGGCACGGCTTCCCTGTGCCCTGCCCCCCACTTTGCCCCACTGTAAAGCTCTTCTGCCCCTCTGCCTGCCCATGAGTCTCCGCCGGTACCCAAGTGCTCATGGCCGACTCCTCTGCCACGTACAGAGAGCGCTGAAGGAAGTCTTGGCGTTTCTCATTTGGCTGGTCTTCATTTACCTCCACAAATCCTATCCTGTCCAAGTGTCCACAGCATGCCCTGGTGACCAGCGCAGACCAAGCCGACCCTTTCTGCCCTCAGGCTTTAGGGGCAAAACTATGGGGCGAGACTAACTGCAGGGACATCGTGGGATTTCAACTGGTCCTCTCAAAGGGCTCAGGCTGACACCTCTTATGGAGGTAAATATCTTGGAAGCACTTTGGAGTCAGACAGACCTGAGCACAGATCCAAGGTCCAGCCACTTTCTAGCTGTGTCTTAGATAGGGCCTGGCCTCCGCAATACAGTCCCCACCAGACCAGCAGCATCGACGTCTCCTGGGGCTTCCTGGAAATGCCGAAGCTTGGGCCCCCCACCAGACCTGCTGAATCTGAATCTGCACTTTCACAAGCTGCCCAGACATTCCCATGCATTGGCTGGGCTCGCTTATCAAGCATCTGAGGCCCAGCTTCCTCTCCAGGAAATGGGGTAAACAGTATCTTCCTTACAGGCGGTCCAGAAGGACCACGGACTGGGAGTGCTGCAGGCACCCAGCTGAGAGGCTGGCTCCTCCTCTCATCTGTCCTTCCTGGGGCTCTGTTTCCTTCCCTCTGTTACCAGGAGAATAGACTGTCCTCTTTACCCTCTTCATTTCTCCCTTTGTGCCCCTAATAGTTATAATAAAGGAAAATGCTTTCAGCAAGAAAGTGCTGTGCGATCCTCCCAACCATTGTGCCCCCAGCTGGGGCGGGGAGGGAGGGCACCTGCCTGGAGAACAGCGGCCAGATTCCACAGCCGAGGGTGGCCGTGAGGGGCATGCCAAGGAAGGAGCCCAGGCTGGCAACTCAGAGATGACAAGCCCCCAAAGAGTGAGAAGAGCCCTTGCTCCCCCAGCAGAGAGGACAAACATGCTCTATGCTCTGAACTGAGCCCAGCACGGTGGGTCTCAGGCTCCACGAAGCCCCAGGCACACTCTTCTTCCAACTCCACGGGCAGCAGAAACCACAAGACCCTGATCCTAGCTGCTCCTAAAGCTAGGACCCCCCCAAAACGAATGGCCAGCGCTCCAGGGCTCCCTGGGCTCTCGGCCTAATGCTAGGTACTTCGTGAGGATTATCCCATTAATCATCACAACAGTCCAGGGAAGACGGGCGTTGTCATCCTCTTCCCCCTTACCCACCTGTCACACACATGCACCCGCGCACAGAGAACTGGCAAGGACAGATCAGAGGGGCTGAAGAGCAGGTCCAAGGCCGCACCAGCAAGCAGCAGTGCCTGGACCTGAGTGCAGCCTTGCTGACCCCAGTGCCTGGCCTTAGTCTCTGACCCCAACCCCAGGAGTCCCCACGGCCGCCAGCTGAGCACAGCTGGCAGGACAGACGCCTGGAGGGCCGCAGCCTTTGCCACTTGCCTATACCTTTGATTTTACTGTAGTTTTAGAATTTGGACACCCGTTGGAATCACCTGAAGAGACCCAAAATTATAACAATAATAATAATAGTAGTAACAGTAATAAAGAGATGGGGAAGAGAAGAGAAAGAAGAGAAGAGGAAAAGACAGCTGTCTGGGCCCCACCCAAACCAGTTGAATCCAAATTCCAAGGGAGGGGGCCCAGACATCAGTATTTTTTAAATCTCACCAGACGATGCTGAAGCACAGAAGGGAGGAGATGAAGCAGAAAAACACAAGACAAGAGGTAGATCTTAGGAAAAGTGCGCGGGTGCATGTGTGTGACAGGTGGGTAAGGGGGAAGAAGACGTCAACGCCCGTCTTCCCTGGACTGTTGTGATGATTAATGGGATAATCCTCACGAAGTACCTAGCATTAGGCCGAGAGCCCAGGGAGCCCTGGAGCGCTGGCCATTCGTTTTGGGGGGTCCTAGCTTTAGGAGCAGCTAGGATCAGGGTCTTGTGGTTTCTGCTGCCCGTGGAGTTGGAAAAAGTGTTTGAGTGTTCTAAAATCTCGAAATCTCAGTTGCCATTTCAGAGCTTCCACGAGACGTCTGCATGAGAAAGGACGTCCTAAGCAAGTCCTAAGCAGTTAGCTGTTCTCAAACCAAGTCTTTGATCCTTGATTCTCACACTGGAAAGAGCACGTGCTTCTGGAGGCTATATTCCCACCCTAAAGAGCATTTTAGGTAAGTAGTTTCTGGCCACGCACACACCCAAGCCGCCAGTGGTGGCCCAGTTCTAACCCACCGCGGCTCCCAGGCTGGCCCTGAGTCCCCACGCCGGCCTTCCGTGAGGCCCCGCTCTGGCGGGCACCGCCAGGTGCCAATGCACGGACTTGGGCAGAACCCCCAGCCTGTCGGCCAGGGTGCCTGGAACCAGACTGAAACCTGAAATAGTGAAGGAAAACAGAACCAGGTAAAGATGCATTCTTTGCTTCTCAGCTGGCTTCCGTCGTTTTAAACACCTCCACCACGGGGGTGAGTAGAGAGCACGGGAAGCTTTGCGTTTGAAAATGTACTTGGAAGGCAGGTCAGGAACACAGGGAGACAGGACAATGACACAGGGTACTTTCTGCCTTCAAAATCCCTGCCAGACTCTATGTCCCCGGGCTCCTACAGTTCTAAAAAAGCCCTGAAATGTTCTGACAGGTTGTAGAATTGTGACGATCAGAAAATTCAATCTCCTGAACAACCCCCCAAAGTGTGCTCTGACTTGCAGCAAACAAAACCAATTAAAGTGTGTAAAACTTCACGAACATTGAAAATCAGCCTCTTGAGTATCTTTGCAGGCCTTTCACCTGGTTCAGAGAGAACCAACAAAGGGCAAGGGGGTAGCCAGGAAGCCCCTGCTGGGTCACAGTTAGGGGAGAAGTGCTCACACTGGCGCTAGAATTACACAAAGTCACACTTAAGCTGCCTATTAGAACCCAAATCCCTGGATGGCTGTGTGGTGCCCAAGCTCACCCCAGGGCATTTGGCGGAGGGGCGGCCTAGTTACACCTGGCAACGTGGGCCACGCGGAAAAGCAGCCTCCCCTGCCAGAGGCACCCACAGCGTTTGGAAATACAGAGATGAGTCAGTTTGGGGCTTCCCGGCCTGCCCTGGGCAAACTCCCCAGAAGAGGCCAGAACAGTGATGCTCTGCTCTGGGGTGGTGGCAGTGGGGACAGAACTTGCTGGTCTCGTGCGGGGTGAGGGCAGGGCGGGGCGTGGGGGCCCCCAGCGCTTCGCCCTCTGGATCTGCCCCAGAGCGTCGCCGTGGGTCTGGGCTCCTCGGCTGGGACTGAGACGTTGTCCGTCAGCTTTCACTTTACCCGTGTGTTGGAGTCAATGATGGGAGCTCGAGTTCTTCCTGGTCACATCGCTGTCAAGGCAGAGCCCTCGTCAAGGCCGGGCCACTCCCGCTGTGTCCAGGACCCAGGCCCCGGCATCCCCCACTCAGCGCCAGGCTGCCCTTTCTCTGGCTGCCCCATCAGTGGGCAGCGCCCCCTCTCGGCTTCCTCGCGTCCTGGCCCCAGCGCAGCAGCCCATGCCATTTCAGAGCTTCCACGAGACGTCTGCATACCGTGTAGAGCTGCGCACGCCTCCAAGCGCCTTCAGTCGTGGTGTTTCCAGTGTAAACTTCATCTAGTCCTCCCCAGAACTAGCCAGAATGTCAACTTCCAGAGAAGGCTTTGGGGTAGGCGTTTACACAGACAGGAGCAGAGCAAGGCCGAAGGGCCAGGCCCTGAAGGTCCCCGGGAGCCCTGGGCGCCTAGCAACAGGCCAAACTGGGGAAACAAGGACCTCGCCCCCAGGGTGGCCTTGCCTCCCCTAGCGTATCCCTGGTCATGTTTCAGACCCCCTGACCTTTCATATCACTGGTTGTGTGGTTCAGACCCTCCCCTGACCTTTCCTCCCTAAAGGATAACATCTAGGCCTCAGTTGTGTTTCAGCTCCAGGCCCAGAAAAGCAGCAAAACCGGGCGGGCGATGCCAGGACCAGCTGCATCAGCTAATGACCGCCACCACCACCCGCCGGGCTGACCAATCAGCAAAGGCCACGGCCCTGAAGGAGCACACCGGGAAAACTGATGACTATTCTGCAGCAACCATCCCACCAAAGACCACCCCTAAGAGAAGGATAAAACCCCTCAAGACAAAGGATCCAGCGCTCGCTCTCCCTCTGGGGAACTTGCCAGTCCCCTTTCCCCTGTTCTTCTCCCACAGGCACATATTTCCTAAACTCTAAGGGTCCCCACAAGACCTGTGACCAGGGGAAGAGTGGGCAGCAGCAGCTCATCCAGGGCGAACCCCCAGAGCCTGTCTCCAAGGCCCCCTTTTCTCTGACTTCCCGGTGAGCTAAAGCAGCCCTGCCTTGACTCGTTTCTTTCCTACGTTTTTACGAAACCAAAGCGGCCCAGCCCAGGCTCTGCTGTTGCTCCTTCTGCGCTAAGCCCTTCCTTGTTTCACCGTCCCCAGCTCTCGGTAATGCAGATGCCGAACTTTCCTTGCCTTTTGATACGCTGGGTGGATCTCACTAGGAGGCTTGCATAGGACCGTTCGAGCCTGCACAGATTATATGAGGCAGAGGCACAATGCCCCCCAGAGGTGTCTGTTACACTCACCTCAAGTCAGGCCAATGGCAAATGGACTAGACTGGAATGACCAACTCAGGGTCCCTAGGTTTGGGGGGTGGGAGTTGCAGCTGCTCAAAGATGGGGAACTTTACCCAAAAACTGGCCTGCAACATGCGAGTCTGTGCTACACTTTTTCTCCCTAAGTCTTGGTCTCAGTATTATCTGCAGCTGGTTTTGCTGAGGTTAAAAAAGTGGAAGACAAGAAAACCTTAGAAAAATAAGTCACTCTTTTATTTCTACTTCAAAATATACTATATACATCTGGAACGCTAAGGAAAAGTAGCCCAGGAGATGAGGCCATCATAAAAATAAAATAAGATAAAAAATGACGATTGTCCATTTCAGATCTGACTCCAATCCAGCCGAAAGGGGCGTGAGCTGCCAGAGGGGCATGAGCTGCCAGAGGCCTCACCGTGGCTGCCATCCCTCTTGACGGAGACCTTGGCGCTGCCTCACCGGGATTCCGTGTCTAAGAGTTCCTGGAGCGTTTTGAGGACTTGCTCTGGCTGCCCGGCAGCCGCGTCCTGCAGCCGGGAGCCCATGTGCTCCTGGAGGCACCGGGACAGCCGGCACACCGCCGTGCGGATGTTCCCGCCGTGCCCAGGCAGGACGCCGTTCCCCGCCATGTTGTTCAGGAAGTACCAGAGGACTGGAAGGACGTGGCGCTCCACGGCCTGGGGCTTTCGGGGGTACACCGAGGCCACCAGCACTGCCGCGCAGAAAAAAAGAGGAAGTTATGTGAGTCAGGCACTCTCTTCCTCCCTCACCACCCCTTCATGGGACACCAACTCTGTCCCCAAAGGGCAGACACAGTACCGGGGCCGCCTGACATGTTAGGGGCCCATGAACATGTTTTAGTTTCTTTTAAAGTCAGAAGAAGCAAATATGAAGATATGCAGCCTGGTTTATATTCTGTTTATAGCAGCCGATCACAAAATACAATTTTCTTATATTTTTTTAAATGGAGGAAGGGAGGGACAAAGGCAAAGTGCTCAGGGCCCATGACAGACACAACGGGTCCCTGTGGCCCAGGGGAGAGGAAGGGACAGACACGGCCAGATGGCAATCCCGCCTCTGCTATTCACTGGCGGTGGGAGGCTGAGAAAGCCACCCAACATTTCTGAGCCTGTGCCCTCATCTGTAAAGATCCTAATCCTGAACCAAAGTCCGTGATTGTTAGAAATTAGACAATAAATGTACGTGCAGTGCCTAAGTAGGTAGGCACATGACAAAGAGTAACCAGCACTAGTACTGCTTCAAGCCACGTCGCCACCTATGAGCCTTCATGCAAAGACAGAGAAAACTTGTCCTGGAGAGAGAAGTCAACACTCTTTCTAAAGACATTCTGGAAAATAAAACAGCCAGCAGGTCAGGCCAGGAGGACAGGCCAGCGTGGCCTTCCCAGTGTCTGCAGGCTAAACTTCACCGGAAGACCAGCCGCAATTCGGGAGGCGTGAACGCGCGGCTCTGTTCATCCTCATGGTATCCCGAGAAGCAGAGTGCTGGCCGTTCACAGAGAAGGAGCCAGGACTCAGGACTCAGTGCCGGCCCAACACCACACACCTAATAAGGGCAGAGTGGAGGACAGAGGCCAGGCCTGCCTTGTCTCCAAAGTTCAAGTCCTTTCCACTGCTCATGCCCCAAAGCCCCTATAGGTTCTGCATTTCAGAGGCTGACTAGGAGTTTTATTTTTAATGAAACCACATCTGTCCTGCCATCATCAGCTGAACATCACCCTATCGCTCAGATTATCTCCCAGCAGGAGTCCCACGGGGCCCTCTGATTTCAGAGCCAGCCTGGGACAGTGGGGAGCCAGAGGTGTCCTGGGCCCCCTCAGCTAGGCCTGCCGCTCATTTCCCAAGGACTGTGTACACTGGCTTTCAGGCCATGCACTGTGGGGCCTCCCAGGGGCTCCGCAATGTCACAGAGCCCTTAGAAACACAGGTGATCCTCGCTCCTGGGACAGGCAGGCCGGCAGCCGCTGAGTCACCCAGCCATGCCAGGTGTTCACTGGGAAAGTCTCCCAGGGGGAGGAGCCCTGAGCAGCTGCACAAAGTGGGGCAACTTCTTGGAACAGGCTGCGAAGGGAGGGCCCAGCTAACAGGAAAGCCACCCACATCAGCCACAAGGGTCAGGGAGCAAGGGGCAGTCCGAGGAGGGCAGCACAAGGGAACCAAAAGAAAATGCTCCTAATTAGCTACTTACTCCGAACATCTATTACTCAAGGGTTTCCTAACTCTCCCACTTCAAATGAAGGTGAGAACTTTCCCCAGAGCTAGGCCCAGGCAGGGGTCCCGGCTTCCACCAAAGGGTGACGGGCTCCCTGTCCCCCCGCCCCCGCCCCATAGAGCTCCCCTCCCTGTCTGGCCATAGCCGCCACACTGGAACCCTCTCCCTCCCACGGCCAGGCCTCGATCCTGCCCACCTGAGTCCCACGTCCCCCGGGGCAGGCAGGGGGAGGGCACCTGGCTGATGGGTGGGTCTCCGGCTGGCAGAGACTGGCAGTGACCCTTCTGGGTATCATCGTAAGGAAGAAAACCCATTAAAATTAAGCTTAAAAGGTAGCTGAGGTAATTAGCAAAAGATTTGCTGCTGTTAAGCTGTGCTATTCTTAGTCCGCACTTTGTGTCAGTTGAAACTTTTTTTCTGTGTTCCTGGCTGACTCCCGGTTAACAGGAGAGCTATGGCGAAACAAACTCTTGCTTGTGGGGTCTCTTGGAAGTAGACAGAAAACATATACCATAAATAGATACGCAATCAAAAGTGAGGTACCCACCCACCTCTGGGCCACATAAATGCCCTACACGAGGACGGGTAGGCTTTCACCGAGAAAATGCTGATTTTAAGCAACAGAAAGGGTTCCTTGTCTGGTACTCAGGGTGGTCTCAGTTAGGTGGCGCCTTTCTCCCCCCAGGGCGCCCACAGCATGGCGCCACGGCTGCATCACAGCCCCAGCCCTGCCTCACTCGCCTCACCTGCCTGGGGAAGGCCTGGCACCTGGACGGGAGGTTAGAGGCTATTCCAAGGTCACTGAGAGAACCAACCCAGGACAAGCGGCAAGGCAAGAGAAGGGGCGGTGGAGGAGCTGGAGTGATGTCCCCGCTCAGGCAGCAGGCGCTGGGCACCCCAAGGGCCCAGTGCTGTGGGGCCCTGGCTGGGCCAGCACCGTGTGGCCTGTGCTCTTCAGAGGCGCATGGCACCAGGCAGGAGGGCTGGGGCGGGGGAGGCAGAGGAAGCGCTGCCCTGGCCGAGGAAGAAGGGTGGAGGAGGGATCTGCAGGCGGGCCACAGGTGCAGGCAGCGGTGAGAGCGCGGGAGGGCGGCCTCTATAAGGAGGGCTGTGCACCGGTGCCTACAAGGCACAGGCTGGGGCCGCCCGGGGCAGGCAGCAGAGCACTGAGGTTGAGCGCTTGGCTCTGCGGCCAGGCTCCTGGGGACAAAGCCTGGACCATTCGCTCAGGGACCTTGGGCACTTAAGCTTTCCGAGCTCCGTGTTCCTTATTTCTACTAAAGGGGCCATCATGGAACCCACGCCCTCCTTTTGGGGTTGTCAGGATTCATGGTCCAGGACCTGTCACTGAGGGTCAGGGAAGGGGGCAGAGTCTGGGGCCAGGCAGAGACAGGCCCTGTGGGCCACTCCAGGAGCCCGGTCACACCCCTGAGGACAGCTGCGGAGCCACGCAAGGCTTCAGGTGGGGGATGGCATGGCCCGTCTGCGTTCTAGGGGGCCCTCCGGAGTCCTGAGAACGGACTGCATCCTGCCTCCTCCCTAGATGGGACCTTCTGAAGATGGAGGGGGAAGCTTTTGGCAAGCAAGAAAGATAACAAACCAACTTAAGTAACCTGCCCTTAGGTCAGCGTTCGCAGGTGGGAAATGGGTCTGTCTCCCACAGACAGTATCCTTGCTGTGCTGCCCCCTCAAGGACCAAGGCAGAAGGTTTCAGTGCGGGAACAAAATCACGCCAGGCTAACGCTGCAAAAGCGAAGCAGACGTAAGCTCGGAGCCAGCTTTCCTCGGCTGAGGCTTGAAGAGGGCAGAGCAGATTCAGGCTGAGGTCCCATGTGCATGTAACGGGCACCTGGCCAAGGGCTCGAAAGGGGCTGAAACCCAGCCCAGGCTCCGCTGGCCAGGCCGCACGTGCCACAGAAGAGGCAGCTTTATCAAACTGTCATGACAACGCTGCTGCTGGCGTGCGCTGGCATGCACTGGCAGCGTCTGCCCAGGAGGGTCAGGTGCCCTATGGGCCAGCGGCAGAGAGAAAAAAGGCATCGCGGTTTCGTAAGAACCATTTTGCTTATGTACAAACCTGTTTTGTTTGGAACAAAACCAAAGACCGTCTTCTGGCAATGTGGGGATTATCTTTGAAAACCAGATTCTGAAAACTTTTCAATGGTCTGTGACTATTGGCCAGCAGAGAATAGAGATGGACCGGGAGGCGGTGGGGGGAGGGCCGTGAGGGGCGCTCACCTGACAGGCGGTCTGTGACGTCGAGCACTGCGCGGCCACTCAGGAAACGCACTCGCCCAGCAAACACTGGCAGGAGGCAAATGTTGTCTGAAAGAGACAGAGCGTCTGCAGCTGTGATGCTGTGGCTGAACAATGACGCCAGCTCAGCGCCAGGTACCCACAACACCGACGTGCGGAAGAGGCCCTTTGGGGGCTGCATTAATTTTTCCAGGTCACAATGGGGCCACTTTAAAAAGTGAAGGTACATGGGTTGTTTGGGGACGAGTGAGTGGCCTGGAATAGTTCAAGTGGCCCCAATCAGGCCTTATTTCCTCCCACAGAGGAAAGCCAAAGGGGTTCGGCTTGTCGGTGCTCCCTCAAAACTGCTGTGAGCTGGGGGGGCAAGGGGATACACAGATGGAGTTAGAGACAGACAGGTAGTTAGACAGATAACAGATTGATAGATAACAGATGATGATAGGTAGATGACTGATAGATTGATAGATAACACACAGATGATAGATAGTTGATAGATGATTGGTGATAGAGAGATAGACAGGTGATAAATGGTAGGTGATGGATGACAGAGACAGATCGATGGACATAGATTTGGATATACAGATATAGTCTTAGGGGAAACTGAGGAACTGAGCCATGGTCACGCCAAAGAGCAGATAGGAAGAGATAGATGATAGATGGATCACTGATAGATTGATGGATGACAGATGACTGATGATGATAGACAGATGGACAGATAAGGGTTGAGGTCAGAATTCAGAAATTGCAGCTGTCCTCAAAGCCTGAGCTTGTGCTCTGAGCAGTAGGAGGTACTCACCACGGGGTGGTCAGTGATTTCCACACTGTACATTTATTGGTGCCCTCTGTGTATAGGCATGGAACTAGGAGCTAAATAAGACCTGTCCTCCTCTTCCTCCTCCTCCTTTTTCCCCTCGAGAAGGTGAGGAGGCAGACACTCACACGTGAACTCTAGCCCAGTGGGGAGCACATGCTCAAGGGACTAAGAGCTGGGGGAGGGCGCAGGGCGGTGACCAGAGCTATGGTGACCAACTCAGCTTGTACCACCCCGACCTTCCCACAGCCCGGGAGTCCTCCCAGCCCTCGGCACACCAGGATGGTTGATCACCCTCTTGGGAGCAGAATCACCCATCAGACTCTGCAAGGGCCAGCAGAGCCAGACTCTGAGGGTTGGGGGAGGGGCAGGTATTCTCTCTCAATAGTTTCTATGTAACCTCATCGTGTGAGACCCAGGCCCAGATGCCACACTCAGAAAGAGAGCACAGTATACCCTCCACATGCCCCCAGTTCACCTTTCAGAAGGCTCAGGCAAAAGATGGAGTTTTAACCTTTGTCTAACTGTCCCGCACCCCCACACCCGCCCAGCGCCCCAGCCACAGCCAAACACAGGAGCCCAGCTCCCGTGCTACCCAGCCGTGCCCATGGATGGAGCCTAGGGACCAAGCACTTCCCCACTCGGATCTTGAAGGCGTGTTAATCACAGAGAGGAACCACTAGTGGTGAAATCACAGCAAATGGGGGAAGGGGGTGTTCTGAGATAAAGAGGCGAGTCTCCATTATCCTTTGATATATTTCTCAAGTGCACTCCACTTGGCCCCATAGGAACTGAATTTAGAAGCTGCGCATTCCTCCCCACTTTAGGTGGCACCTCCTGGCGTCTCAAACTATTAACCTTGAAATCCTGCATCCCTCACAAAGACACGTAAGGTAAGGAAAGTGGCCCCTCACACAGGGAAAATACACTCATCTAGAAAATACCCAAGGTAGGGCCAGTCTCCATGGCCTCTGAACCGCCTCGGCCCCGAACCCTGGAGGTGGCGCCTCACCCAGCTCCCAAGAGTCTGCGACCACAGCAGTCAGGGCGTAACCCAATGGGAGGTGGGGCCCGCCACAAAATGCACTTTTCAGGGCTGTGGCTGAGGAGTCTGGGAGGTGAGGGGCATTACCAGAGCAGGCCCCTGTGGTCCCAGGAGCTGACCGTCTCAAGGCCATATTTCTCTTTGTAGGGGACAGTGATTAGGGGCCTGCCTGAGGAATCCTTTCTGGTAAGTGGCATCTTTGCTGGGTTCCTGCGCTACCGCGGCACCAAGCCTCAGCCTCCCCACAGATGTGCAATCAAAGCTTTCTTTTTCCATCAGGCAACCATTCCAGCTAAGATCTAATTCTGCTTCCCTTGCTCTCTTCCTGAGATGTCTAAGGTATACATAGGAGAAAGCGTACATCTCTGCTGCTTACAGAAGCTCCGTCCAGAAGGCAAGAGTCTTTAAAATAATTTGTGCCAGGAGATAAAAGAGATACCAGCCTCTAAAATATTGCAGTTTGCAAGAAGTGATCTCAGAATGTCTCAGTAAAGCTGTAATTGTGTAAAAACAGGTTTGTATATCATCACCTGCATTACTGTGTGCCGGCGCTTCTATTCCTCCCCTCACCCTACTCCCATTATCAGCTAGGAGCTCACCTCTGATGGCAAGGACTTCTCCCCTCCAGAGCAGGAAAGAAGTAAAGACCTGGGGAATCCTTAAAAAGGCACATCCCACAGACATCTATGCCACACCATGTTCCCATGGTGCCTGGTACACAGCAGGTGCTCAATAAATGCTTACAGCGTGCCGGGCAATGTTATAGCAGAGACACAAAGTTTGCCCAAGCACCATGCCCCCCAGGTAGCTGGCCTCTCTTCCTCTGATTACTTTTACGGTGAAGGGTGCTCACCGTCCCAGTCACTCCCAGGTTCCATAAGTGGCAGGAGAGCCTAGAGGTTAAGGGTGTGGGCCCTGAGCTCAGATTGCCTGGGTTTGAATCCTGGCCCTTCCACGTTTTACTGTGTAATGTTGGACAAGTCACTTATCCTCTCTAAGCCTCAGTTTACCCATCTATGAAATGGGGATGATAGTAGTACCTCCTTCACAGAGCTGCTGCGAGGATTAAATGAGTTCACATAATGCTTAGGACAGTGAAACTGGAGCATACAATTACTATGTAAGTATCCACTACTGTTGTTGCTATGACTACTATTCCCCTAAAATGCCCCGAAAGCCCAGCAAACTTCATGGTGAAGAAATCAGTTAAGCGGCTGGAATCTAACTTCTGAAAATTTCAAATCCATGCTCTGTTAGCCTGGCCCCGGGGGTTCAGAGGCTCTGCTTCTGCACCACAAGGAAGCCAGAGCGGGTCTCAGTGCTGCCCACACCAAGAGGCAAGCAGAGCCACACAATGCGGGGCAGAGCCTCCGCTGGCAGGCCAGACACCCTGCCTTCCCCGGCCCCGCCTCCCGCTCTGCACTGGGGCGGAGTCCAGGCCAGGGGCCGCCACCTGCCTGTGCAGCGACCCTGAGGCCGCGGGGCCCCACCCTCCTCCTGCTCCTGGGGGACCAGAGTGGAGCTGTGAAGAAAGGGTAAAAAACGTAGTAGCATGTGAACACTGGCAGCAAAGAAACTGGAATCGAACCGGACTCCCGACAGTATGCTTCAGGGCTATGGTGTCGCAATGCAATGAGCTCAGTAAGTTATGATGTCACAGAGCCCAAAGCTCTATAGCCACCAAAACGAGGTCTGCATCACAGGAAGAAACTGGGAATGACCCACCTAAACAGAAAATGCAAGCTATGGTGTAGCAGGTGACGGAGCGGTGAAAAGTGATTCAAGTGTGTCATTATATGTAAATGATCATGCTTTGTCTAAAAAAAAATCAGGATGCAAATTCAAATGTATTATATAATCACAGCCATGTATACCAACAGGCAATGAAAATATCTATAATGAAAAATGCCAAATGTTAATAATGGTTTATTTTAAGAGTTGGGACTGTGAGGTATTTTTTTCTCTCCAGATGCTTTGCACTTTTTATTTTCTCAATAATTAATAAGTATACTTTTACAATGGTGGAAAGTACACTCTATATTTTTAAATTAACTAGAAAGACTGCATAATAGCATGGGAAACTGGGTAGTATTAAATGAAAGATGCAAAGTCAAAACTGTATTTACATTCTGATTTTTAACCAAGGAAATCTCTGTGCACGTAGACAAGAAGCAAACGATAAAAGAGATGTTTTTAAGCAGTTGCTGTATCAGAGGGGCGCCATGGATGAATGTGTAAATTCCATTAACAATGTAATGTTGGGCATAATATTTTATATAAGGTAATAAGTTTAAAGTCAAAGAGAAAAATAGCCAAAATAAGTCGGAAGTCACCCATTTCTGAGCTTTCCCGCCCTCTCCAGCACTGGCCAGGGGCTGTGGTAAATCAAGAGAACTTGGGGCGCTCACAAGCCCGCATGTAGAGAGGTCTGACCTGGAGCAGGTGAGCTGCCAGCGGTCTGATGTTTTAATTAGTGGCATTTCTTCTGTGATTCACCCAGTCATGGAGCCCAAAGAACCCACCAGTCAGCTCAGGAACTGCCTGGACACCTGAATGAATGCCCCTAAAATCAGAGGCTCTCAGTGCTGAGTAGAGAAGGCACTATTCCAGCCTCACCCCTGGAGAGGTCCCAAGGCAGGCAGGGACAAAGGGCAGAGGTTAGGGGGCAAGGCGCCCAACCTGTCTCCTTCCTTACCATCCCCCCAAAAGGGAACATGGGCAGAAATCCCACCGGCTCTGCCTACCAACACACCACCTGTCCCTAAAAAAACCCAAACAACTAGAAGAGCTGTGGCAGCTGAGGAGTCCACTTTATCACTGACTTCCAGAATAAAGAACGATCTTAAGAAGCCGCCTGAGAAGCCAGCCTCCCAGTTTGGCTGTGCCATCTGGACTTTGTGCCAGAAGATGGTCTAGCCTGGCTGTGCTCTTGACCCCTTGGGCCCCCGCAGAGCACGAAACAAATACAGCATGTCGAGCTGCTGCTCTGTGATTTTTCACAGTTAAGTATTTCATAGCATCTCCCAGATTCTCTCTAGCCTGGAGCCCAGGATCTCTCATGGGGCATGAGGGAGCAGGCTTGGGAGAAAGCTTCCTCTGCTCAAAGGGCCCCAAGCCACCTCCGGCGGGGGGGGAGGCTGCAAGGTGCTAAGGGTCCCCCCAGGAACCACTAGGGCCACCAGGCTCAGCCTGGGTGCCATGGGAAGGAAGATTTACACCCCTTCTCTTCTGTCCCACCTACCTCATCTCTGCTTCTACCACCCAATGCCCCAGGACAATGGGAAGTTTAGCTACGCTCATCCATTTCAGAGTGGTGCGAACTAGGCTCAGACCACTATTCCTGCGGCACACCCTGGCAGTGATGCACTCTCCTTGTTGGCAACCTAAATCCCTTCAGCTCTGACCTAGGGGGATATGGAAATTGGCTCATCACGTTACCTTTAAGAATGTTTTCAGCACCGGTGTTGCTGGTGGGGCTAAGAGGGTAGGCACACCTTTCAAAATGACGCAGAACCAAGACCCTGAGCTTCACCCTTTGGGCCCCGCAGGAGCCTTCTGCCAGGGATTCACTGGCTCCTCCATCCCTCCGAGGCCAGCCCCATCCCACCCCAGCCTGGTGCTGACCTACAGAGCAGAGAGGAAGACAGTTCCGCTCAGGCCTGCTGCCTTTCTCCTTGCACTGAGTCCTCCTGCTGATGGACCAGACCGGGCATCGTCAGCCCAATCTGAGGGACACCCTCTCTCTAGGCAAATTCCTGTAAACCACAACCTGCCTCAAGGTATGGTCAGGTCACAAAAGCAGACCATCCCCACGCCCCCTTTCCAGGGGGCTCAGCCCAGGATCACGTAGCAGGGCCCCAGGCAGAGTGGACCTGAGCCTTGTGAAAATGCGAGACACCAGATTCCGCAGCCCAGAGCTTCAGAACTTCCACGTGCTCAAGAAGGCTGGCCTAGCCCTAGCTGGTGTGGCTCAGTGGACTGAGCACTGGCTTGCGAACCAGAAGGTCGCTGGTTCGAGTCCCAGGAAGGGCACGTGCCTGGGTTGCAGGCCAGGTCCCCAGTTGGGGGTGTCAAGAAGCAACCGAATCTATGTATCTCCCATGCATCATGCACTGATGTTTCTCTCCTTCTCTTCCCCCTTCCTAAAAATAAATAAATAAAATCTTCAAAAAAGAAAGAAGACTGATCCAATGGCAAAAACAGAAAGGAAAACACCTGGAAGGGAAGAGTTAAAAGCTCCTCTCCCCAGACAAGGGTGCTTATCCTCTTCAAATAGCTAAAGCTTATTTTGCTTGGTGTAGGTTTTTCCAATAAATTCAGGTCCTGTGGTGATTTACCAAGAGCCTTGGTTATTGGCAACAGCAATCTCACTTACCCACAGCAGCACTAAGAACAAGCCATAATTTAGAGCTGGATTTATATTGTTTGTTCTACAGCCACAAACCCAGCAAATCATAAATTCCCTCTGAGATGGAGAGAGGAAATTGACAATATTTATGAACTTGAGAGGCGGAGGAGGACCAGGCCAGGCCTTTGATTTGTGACTGAAACTTCTCCTGGAGGCCTCAGCCAAGGACACGGTGCTGTCCCAGCCCCAGGGAGCTGGGCTCAGGCCAGGGTGTGGGGATGAGGCAGTGGGAGGCAGGGGGCGTGCGCGTGTGCCTGGCAGGGTCCAGCCTCACCAGAGGGGTGCTCTGTGGGTGCTAAAGACAGGACATCGCTCTGTGCTCCTCAGGACCTACAACAAGCCACACGGCAAACACAGGCGGTTCTCAGATCGTACGTGTTCTTGCATCAAGGCAAGACTGGTTTGCAAAAACTCTTGCTTCTACTGGTTGGGACTTAATTCTACTCATGAACTACATTCTCACATGTGCTGGGGGTTGTGAACCCACACTTCAGCCTGTGTACTCGCACTAAACATTACCCGAAAGAACCAAGATGTGATACGGCAAAGCCCACAGGGAACTGGGGAGCTCCCTCCTTTCCTGATGTCTCTCTCATAGTTCCCTCCTCTTTGTTCTTTTCATTCCTCCCCCACCCCCACTCCAATTCCACTCCCCATGCCTCATGCCGAACCCCTCCCACCCAAAGCTCTGGCCCCAAACAATTCTCCGAAAAGGCAACTCTCCTCCATTTCACACTCAAAAAGCCAGTGGGACGCCAGCCTGACTCCTGTGCCAGACAGTCGAGGTGGCCCGCCATCCAGGCCCACCTACCCATCAGCTTTGTCCTCCCCAATAAGCTCGCCCTGCGGTCTCACAGGCATCCTGCCTGGTCCCCATACAAGCCACATTCACTGCTCCCATCTCTACAGCTAAAACCTGTTGGCAGCCCTTCCCAGCTCCTTCCTGGCAATCCTGACCTGCTCTCCTTCAATACGCCATTGGCTCGCTCACCGCGGTGCTGTGTGGCCTTGGGTGAGACATTGACAATCACATGCACTAAAGAAGGCAACACCACATCATCCCCAACGTCTCCTCTGCTTTCACCATCTATGACACACACATGGGGTGACACAGGAAAGTGGCCCACCAAGAACCTCGGAGGCCCTGGGCTGCCCACCCCCACCCTACACAGCCTCCGGGCAAACGCTGAACCTGTGCGGGTCACCGCTCTGCAGATGCCCAGGCAGGGGCCAGGCGGGGGGCTCACCCAGACTCTCAATCATGGCATCCAGGGCAGTCACAGCGGCAGCATAAATCCCCGAGTTCCTGGAGTTGAGGTTGTCCGCGACGGCGACAATGATGGAGAGCAGCATGGGGAGCAAGCGCTCCCTGAGGAGGGGGGCCATCTTGGCGAGGGACTCCAGCGCCCACTGGTTCACTTTCTTGTTGGAATCCTGAAGCCTTGGGGTGAAAGCATCAAAGACCTATTCAGGGAACAGAAACCAAGAGCCCATGGGAACCCAGGCTGGCAGGGGTCCCACAGCCCAGCCGGCCACCCTCAGCAGGGGCTCCTCCCGCATCCCGGACAGCGGTCCTCCACCCTATGCCGAGCATTCGCAGTGATAGAGAGTCAGCCCCCTCAAAGCGGGGCGGGGGGTGGCGCGAGAGGGAAGAGCGACCATATATTGAGCACTCATCGTGTGCCAAGTTCTAGAACATCTTGTAAGCCACTCGGCACTCACTCTTTCCTGGAATCATCTTAACAACCCATGAGGCATGGGTACTCATCCTCGCTTTACCATTAAAAACAAACAAAAACTGAAGCTGGAAGAGGTTAAATCACTTGCCCAGACCGCACAGCTCGTAAGAAACGTGAACGGAAACCCAGGTCTGCCGACTTCCTGCCTGCGTCTTAACCAAGCTGCATTGTGGCCTGTCAGCAGCCTTGCTCCTGGAAGAAGCCTCTGTCCTGTTTCCCATTCTGTGCATGGGCTGTGGCTGCTCCTGAGCCATCCTGGCCCCGTCGCCTGGCCATCTACAGGCTCTGCCCGCAAAACATCATGCACATACTAGACCAGTAGAGGCCCATGGCCACAGCATCCTTCACGTCTTCCCTCCTCCCCAAAATCTTCCAGAAGGGCAGGAGATGCCCAGGATACCTCCAAGCAGTCCCAAGGTGCCTGATAGGAGGCAGTGCCCTCACCCCCTTCAGCTGCTTCCAAGTATTCATAGAGTGTTACCAAGGCAACTGGATGGCAAATGCTTGTTGGGCTCCCCTTACCTTGAAGGGTCTGGCACAATGTTTAACCCTGTTCAGAGTTTTCCAAATTGAAGTGGCACCCCTGGCAAAAGACAGGTGGCAGGGCAGGGGTGGGGCAGCGCTTACCTGGACCAGGTTGGCGGTGATGAGTTCTGGCTTGGCCTGGCAGTGCTCAAGCAGCTGCCCCACGCCTTCCCTCCGAGACTGGTAGTCCTTGGCCTCCAGCAGCCGCGTCAGCTCTCGCAGCTGCTCCGCCACCTCCGAGCCACCCCACTTGGAAGAGCGCAGCCCCGCCAGCCTCGGGCCTTTGGAGCCAAGCCTAAGAGGAAGGAGCATCTGACCTGGGCAGCCCAGGGGATGGATACCTCTTATCCCATGCCCCCTCCCACAGACAGGTGGGGCTTGGGAACTCTGGAAATCCTTTCTCCTCAGGGGACTGGGGTGGTTTCCAGACCTCAGGGGCAGAGATTTCTCTTCCTGCCTTTCTTTCTCTTTTCAGAAGACAGGTAAAAAATGGGAGAAAGCCTATAGGGAGGGGTGGGGAATCCACAAAAGGATAACGGGGCACATTTCATCTAAGAGTGGGGGAAGACCTTGCCCGGTGCCCGAACCCTGACCCCCTGTTGCCGAGGCCCTGCTCGCTGTTCTCCCTTAACTAGGGAAAGGCTAAGAAGCCCTGTTGTCTTAGGCTGGGATCACACGCCCACGGCAGCCCCTGGCCCGGTCTAGCCGGCACGAGAGCAGCTCCATTCCATTCTCCAAGCCCTGCCCCAGCTCAGAGCCTGCGTCTTGGAGCTCCTGCCCTCCACCCGAGTCCCACCCGACAGAGCCCAGCATCCTCCGTTCTGTCACTCATTCCTACATTCTCCGCTTTTTGCCTGCCGAGTGCTGGGGCCTGTGCTGGGTGCTGAGAACAAGGAGGCGAGAGAGACAGTCTGCAGAGGGGCTCACAGGCAGGACAGCAAAGTCAGCGGGCTGACAGAGGACTGAAGAGCACGGATGACCTGTCCACCCAGAAGACACGGGGGCGCAGAGTGTCAGAGAGAGCTTCTGGGAGAAGGTGGCAGGTGAGCTGAATCTCATGGCATCTTGGGGAGTAAACAGGTATGTTCTAGGTGCAGATGGCCCAGCATAAGGCATGGAACCAGCAGAAGCAAAGGCACAGTAGGGAGGGAGCATGGTGGGCGGGCCCACCGGCTGCTCTGGTCTGGCTGAGGGCAAGTGTGGGAGAGAGAGCAGGAGGCTTCTGCTGAAGAGGTGGGCGGGGCCTCCCTGGGGTCCCTGCTAAGGAGCTCAGATGTGGTCCTTGGGGAGTTCACGTTTTAGGCACAGGAATGACCTTTGGTTTCTAACTCCTCCTAGCAGCCACCCTCCAGCACCTCAGTCCATTCCTTGTCATCTGCCTGTGTCCCAGCTCTGCCTCTGAACTAGTCCCAGGCCGACTGCTTCGCTGGTGAAAGGATCTGCCGGTCTAAGTGAACGAGGAACGCTGGGTTCCCACGGGTGGCCTGACCGACGCAGTGGCGCCCCCTTGACCACGAGGGTAGGAACCCGCTTCCGCCCATCCAGGCTCCGAGGCCTAGCACGTAGTCTTCCTAGGACTTGGGCGCGGGACCACGTCCTATAAATTTCTCCTCTAGTGCTGCACACCCAGCCAGGCGTCGGCCGTAGCCCTAGTCCGCGCTCCTTCCCGGGCCACCCTGCCGCCTTCATCAAGTCTTGCAGGGGGAGCCCCAGAGAGCGAAGAGTGGCCATACCCGTCCTCACCAGGCAGTCCGTTCTCACGCACCACCAGGCTCCTCGACACCTTGTGGCCTCTGGCAGATGGCAGTTCATCGCTGTCGTCTAGTCCCTTGAAAAATGCACACAGGACTTGAACCAAAAGGAGTGGCCTCTGGGGAACAGCTAGGCCCTCCAGCATAGACCGTAGCCCCGCCCACCGGGGGGCGGAGGGGGGGGCGGTCAAGATCCGCATTTCACGGGCGAGGACGTGGAGACCCAGGGAGGCGCAAGGGACACAGGCGGTGAGAGGCTGAACCAGGCTGAGCAAAGGCCGAGCGAATCACGTGATCTCCGCGGGCAGGGGCAGGTGACTTAAAAGCCTTTGGAGTGCAGTCCCCCCACCCCCACTCCCATCCCCGACCGGCCGGAGGCTGCCGGCTCAACTCCGGTCCCCACCCAGGACCCATCCCACCAACCAACTCACCTGCTGTTTAATGGCCGCCATGACTTTCCGCAAATCGTGGGACGGGAGGGACTGCTTCAGAAATGCATCAAACTTCGTGTTCGACATCAAGGTATTCACCATCTTCCGGCCGTAAAACCTGCCGCAGGGCAAAGAGCAGGATGAAGAAGCAGCCACAGAAATGCATCACAAATGTGCTGCACGACTGCACTTAATTTTCTAATTATAGTAACTGGTGTCTAATGCTTTTTCTAATTATGGCAAGAACCCTTACCCAGTTAAAAACTAGATTGATAAAAAAAAAATAAATAAACACTATTCATACTCCCATTACCAAGAGAAAAACCGCTATTATATTTTTACATGTTTTCTTCATCGTCTTTCCCTATACATACATTTAGCTTATATCCGAATGCATATACAACTTGTATCTAGCTTTTTTTCACTTTATCATTAATCATCTTCCCATGTCACCCTTTTTAAGAGGTACATAATATATCATTGGATGATTATACCAAAAATGTAGGTAATTTTTTTTTGTATGGGACACTTAGAAGTTTGAGGAAGGGTGCAGTAGGGCAATATAGAAGAGAATGGTAAATTCTACCTGGTGAATAGTGGTAGGTGGGGAAGAGAATCAGGGAGGGCTTCATGGCAGAGGTGACCCCTGGGTTGGGACTCAAATGGTGAGTAGGAGTTCACAAGTGGGACAGGATCAGGGAGTAAATAAATGGGAGGAGGGGGACCTTCTAGGGTCCATAAAGCAGCATGATGTGTCAGCAGGTGAGGACTGGGAGAAAGGCAGACTGGGACTGGGCCCAGGAACAGAATAGGCTGGAGAAGAAGGTAGGACCGGTTTAGGGAGCTGGGAAGGAATCAGGCTTGGGCAGGCAGGCAGTGGGAAGCTGAGGAAGGGTCTGATTTGCCCTTTGATCAAATCAAAATGTCCCTAACAACAGTGCAGAGGATGGCTCTCTGCGGATAGGGCTGGGACAGTATCACTGCCTTCAGCGACACTGCCTCACCTGTGGAGACGGCCCTTCACCTGCCCTCTCAGGAACAGAAGGTAACATTACTCGTGGGTCAGGTTCTTCTTTAGGTCGGGTAAAGTATTTGGTGGCTGCTTTGCAAGAAAATGTGGGATTTCAGTCATTCCTTCAACGATGCATGTTTGCATTAACATCTGATTTATACCCTGTCACTCTATTTCCATGCCTTTCCTCATATGCAATATGTTTTTATTTCAATGCTGAGTAATGGTGTAATATTTCTAAGACATTTTAAACAGCAATTAAGTTCAACAATTCCTCACAGAGCATCCACAGTGACTTATTAAAATAAATATGAAAGGCTAACAAGCAAAGAAAGGTTCATAGCATAGTTCCAACAGCACAAATTATAATGCAAAGGTTTATACCATGAGCAAGTTTGCAAATGTGCAGGTTGTAAAACCTAAGTCATAATTGCTCCCTGGTCAATAACTGTGATTTGCCTCTGTTTGTAAGATATTAAAATGTGGGGAGGAAGTGTGTGTCTTAGAATCAATGAAGTGTGAAATTCCCCATTCTGTATCTTAGATGACTCAGTAAATAATAGTGACTTTTAACAATACAGGGAACACAGCCAAAGAAGCAGGCTTGGGGAGAAGGCAATGAGTTCATTTCGGGACACTTGGCACTGAAGATGACAGGTGGACGTCCTGGTGATGGGTCCTATGGAGCATCAGAGATACGGGACTCAGAGGGTGTGGACCAGAGCCACCGGAAGTGATGACACAATTCAGGGAAAGTTGCAAGAAGAGGACAAGGACTAAAGACACTCCTGTGGCCACCTGCATTCAGAAGACAGGTAGGGTAGAGAAAGGGCCACTGAAGGACAACGGGACCCAGGGACTCCAGTGCCGTGGAAACGAGAAGCATAAGGTTCTGGGGAGGAAAATGAAGTGTAGTCAACACCATCCAATGTAAAAGAATGGAGAGGGGTACTAGATCTGGAGAGATACTAGACTTTGAGGTTCATCCCCCACTGACAATTAAAACAAACTGGCCAATATTGCTCATTTCAGTAAATGGTAATACTGTTCACCCAGTTGCTCAGTTTATAAACCTAAACGTCATCTTTGCTCCCTCTTTAAAAGCCTCACCACCCACCTCCTGTGGGTTCTGCCTTCAATATAGACCCAAATCCACCCCTCCTCTCCCTGCAGCCAACCTCCAGCGCCTCTTGCCTGGCCAGTGGGGTAGCCGTCAATCATCCGGTGTCCCTCCTCCATCCTGACCACTCACCCACTATCAACGCTCCAATGAGCAGCCAGAGAGGTTCGGTGTGGGTTTTTTTTTATTGTTTTTTGCTTTTTTGTTGTTTTGGGGGTTTTTGTTTGTTTTTCTTTGGTGCAGAGTGGGTTTTTTTGTTTGTTTTTTAGTAAAAGGCTAGCAAGCATAAAAAGAAACAGTCAAACTAGTAACTGGGAAACAAAGAACTCCGAAACCACAAGCCGGCACATTCACCCATTAGATCAATAAAAATCGGAGATCCGGTTAGTGCACCGCTGTGAGGAGGCAGGCACACCGTGGGCGCTGCGGGCGGAGCGGCCTGCAGGAGGGAGGCTCAGCTTGTTTTCTCCTCCATGTCCCTCAGCTGTATCTAAAATTATCATAATTATTTATTTGTTTATTGTGCATCTTCCCCACTAGGAGGTAAACTCCAAGAGAGCAGAGTCCTAATTTTTCTTATTCACTGTCATATCCATAACAATGAAAAGAGTGCTCATTAACTATCTCTTGAAAAAATGAATGCACTGTGTTTACAAAGGATGGACCTGAGGTGGGACAGGAACAAGGGCAAGGTCGTGGGGGCTGCAGGGAGAAGGGGAGGTGGGACATGGAGGTGAGGGGTTCTGACCGTTCCCTGAGCAGGCCTGGCTGTGACACCTGGCTGTGAGCAGGCCTGCCTGGGGACAGCAGTAAGGAAAGAACACAGGTCTGCCCCTCCAACTGCCCATCCACAGGATCCTGGGGAGGCGGCGCCATGCGGGCCACGGCTGGCTGGTCGCCTTACCCGCCCTGGACTGGCCAGGTCAGCCGGCCCCAGGCCCCTGGCCCCGCATTACCTGGTGTCCTGGTTGGAGTCCTGGGCTAGTCTCACCAGGTTGCGCACCAGCATGTCCGTACTGTCCCTGGTGCCCGAGAGAAGCTTCTCGGCGCCAATCTGCTCCAGGACAGCCGAGAGGTGCTCCGCAGTGCATTTCCGGACTAAGGGGTTTCTGTGGCTGAAAGAAGCAACAGCACAGTCAAGGGCTCCGTCAGGGAATGGGATGCAGGGGTCCCCACGCTGGCACACATGGACCTACAATTGTGCGCCCACGTTTGATTCTGTGATGGGCTCTGAATTCTGTCCCCTGTGGGCTAAGGGGAATCTTTGAGGAAAGAGCAGAGCCTTCCCAACAATGGAAGTCAGGACAACGACAGCCACAGTGGGACAGGGAAGAAAAGGGAAGCCACTTGGTCTTCCCTGGATACACCTGTGCCCACTGTTCTCTGCGCCTCCCTGAGCTCACAGTGTGCCTTTGTGTAAGTGGACACCCTGTCTCTTCTCCACCTGGAAAGATCCTACCCAGTCAACATCTCCTCTGCCTTCCCGAGCCCCCCAGGCAGACCTGGGTGCTCCCTGGGGTAGCACTGTCCCTGTCCCCTGGGAAGCGCAGGGCCAGCCCTGTGGCTCCCCAGCAGGGCTGGGGCTCCGGGAGAGGACAGCTAGTCTCCCTCCCAGTTGAATCCCCGGCGCCCACTGGTGCCTGGCACATGCCAACACTTAGCGAGAGCTCACGGTTGAGCTGAATTGGGACAGGAGGCAGGGGCGGGGGGTTGACGGGCAATTTGGCCGTCCTAACAGCAGGAACCTCAAATCTGACAAGAGAACCTCATCAGGGTGTCACCTCTTTCTTTTTCCCCTTTATCAAGCAGGGTCCCGGTGTCCACAGTCCATCGGGCCTCGCCAGCCCCTTCCCTCACCCCTTCCATGTTCTTCCCAGTGGGATACAAAGGAACGTTCCGGGCTCTGCCTAGTCAGTGCGGGCCAGGCACCCGCACCCTTAGCATCTGCATCACAATCTGCACTTCAGCCAGGGCCTCAGGACCTCAAGGCCCCCCTGAGGACCCCGACCCTGGCTCCTGCAACAAGGACCAGATTGTAGCGAGGGTACCCTTGGTGCCAGGCACCCCGCTGAGCACCTTCAGCCATGATCTCCTCCACCCCATAAGCTACTGATCTCATCATCTTGCAGGTGAGGAAGCTGAGGCAAAGGGAGGGATCCGGGAAAAGGACAATTAATTTCTCCCGAGTTAATAGCAGCCACAGGAAGCAGGTGATAAATGTTAGGTGCGGGGAGGCAAGCCTTGTTCTAAGGGCCCTTCCATGAATCAGTCTGTTCACTAACTCCTACAACAATTTTATCATTATTGCCATTTTACAGATGGGGGAACGGGGGCACAGGGACGTTCCGTAACCAGGAAGTGGATCCAGCATCCGGGCTCCGGAGCCTCTCCTTCCCCGGCCGCCCCGGGCCCAGAGGCCTGCCAGCGGTTCCCCACGCCCCAGGGACCCTCTGAGAAGCCTCACAGAAGTGAGGCAGAAGTGAAGCAGAAGTGAGAAGTGCTGTGACTGGCTTGTGGTAGAAAGTGTTTTGTTCTCTGGGAGAAAGGGCTTTAGAAATGCTTTTGCTTTTGTTTTTTCCAGACGGGAAAAGCAAATCTGGCTGCGGGGTAGTCATCTAGTCATCGGCCCTTTCTCCTCCCCAGGAGAAGGCTGAGCACGCCAGCCAGCCGAAGAATGACGCGTTGTGCCTTGCTCTGCTGACGGCCTGGGTTTGATCAGAAACGCCCCTCCCCTTACAGACAAACCGGTCTTGGGGGATGTTACCAAGGCCACTATGAGCTCCTACGTTTTGAACAAAACAAGATACCTCTCCCTTTTCAGCCAGGACTTGGGGCTGCCCTGAGCTCATCCCATCGCCTGGCTGGAGGGAGGTGGGTCAGAAGCCCCCCAGAAAGAAGCTCCCCAGCCAAATGTGTGAAGCATTTGCACCATCCCCCGCCTCCTCTCCCATCCCAGGGCCACGGCGCTCCCCTCACCTTCCCAGACCACCCTCGCCCCTCAGACAACTGGCTGGCACATACTAGATGCCCGCTGAGGTGAGGGCCGCCAGGGTTCGGGCAGGGGTCACATGCTCCACCATGGCTGCCAGGGACCGGTTGGCCGCTCTCTGGATGAACTCGCTGGTGTTCCCCATCTTCTGCAGCAGACAGCGGGCAATCTCTTCAGCCTCCTGGTCCATATTCTTCTTCAAGGACCGGAAGAGATCTCCCAGGGTGCTGATGGCCAAGCGGGACACCTTGGAGCGGAGGTTGGTGACCTTGGAGAGAGATGGGAGAGGGACCCTCCAGTGCTGCTGGACCCCAGAACATACCAAGAACGGGGCGCCGCACCACCCCCTACTGCCACCGCCACCGCCACCCTCACCCTGGGCCCAGGCCTTGCCGGGCTGGAAACAGAAACCCTGCAGCAGCTTGGGGCAGAGTAGTTCCATTTTTAAAAAATATTACTGTTGTTATCATTATAATGACTAATTCCATCATTACCACCTGAAATCTGTACAACGGTCTTCAAAGCACTTTTATAAATGATGTCCAATTTGACCTGCACACAGCCCCCACTGGAACAATCTGTCCTGAAGGGGTTGGGGGCATGGCCGCCATCTGTGAGCAGGTGCATCTTATTGCCCATCTGGGACCAGCGCAGGCCCTGGCCCAGCCCCTGGCCCAGCCCCCGGTGGGGGGAAAGGGCTTGGGAAGTGCTACAGCCGCCCTGAGGCTGGGGATCTGGCCCAGAACACTCCACCCCTCCCCTGGCATTCTGAGTACAGAGGACAATGCAGGGCTGTGACACACAAATAAGGAAACCCCAGGCCTCAGGTTTCCAATCTGAGAAACGGGTGGCTACTTCTCACTTCTGGCTGAGGGCTGAGAAAAAAGTAGAGGGCGTTCCTGTCCCAAGGAGCCATGGGCCCCTCCATGGCTTTATGTGACCTGCTTTGAACAGCAGCCCAGGGAAGGGGGACTGGCGGCGGGCGGGCAGGGCACCCGGTACACAGGCGTCTGGGAGGCCTCACCTCCCCAGTCACGGCCAAGGACACTTCGTGCAGCCTCCCAGCGAGGACCTCCGAGTGGCAGGCTGCCAGGCGCCGGATGCTCAGCAGGCCCTTCTCTTTCACGTACCTGAGAAGCAAGTCCAGTGCCTGTCACAGGCAGGTGCGGCAAGAGGGGCAAACCAGGGGCACCCGCACCGTCCACCAGAGCAGGGTGGGGCTTGCTGGCCCCAAAGGCAGGGTTGCCTGGTGTAACACCCAGGCTGAAACCTTCACAGTCCAGTAAAAGCCATTTTAATGGGCCCCTGGCTCAGCCTCACCTAAAAGAGAAGCCCACTCCCAGCCCCTGGGAGCACAGCTGACACAGGCCACTGGTGCCTTCAAGGGAAGGGACTGGAACATGAGGACTGAAGGCAGGGAGGCCTTCCCACAAATGTTCTGGACCCCAAGCCACCAGCGCAGGGGAGGATGCTGGGAGCAGGCTGAGCTTGATGTGGAGAAATGAAGGCTGTGGCCTTTCTAAGGCCCCTTGGGGACATGTGGAGCCACATTTACACCGGCCATGCCTGGCTCCGGTGTGCCACAGAGCAGGACACTGGGCTGTCAGAGGGCGCAGGGCAAACACAGGAGGATGGACTCACACACACATACACATACACACACACACAGCCCCTGCTTCCCCAGGACCAGGCCCTCGCAGGGGGAGAGGTGGGCAGCCGGGGGCCATGGGCGTGGGAGCAGGAGCTATTCTGCAGCTCCCCGCGCCGGGCCCCGCCGGGCCCCACCGGGCCCCGCCATAGTGCGCAGAGGGGAAGGTGGCGCCTCACCAGTCACTGCTGTCGAGACACTGGAGGGCATCCATCAACCCCAGCTCCGGGTTCGAGAAAGGCCTCAACTCCTTAAAGCCCCAAGGATCCATCTCGTCGTCGTCTTCTTCCCACTCGGGGGACCCCAAAGTGAGCACCGCAGGTAGCGAGTTAGCTGCACTCACAGGAAAGAAGAGGAACACGGGGCTTTTAGCAGGAGGCCCCGAGGCTTGGCCCGCAGCAGCGCTGAGCCACCTTGGGTGGGGGCGGGGGAGGCATCAGGGGGTAGGGACTGGGGGCAGCTAAGAAGCCAGCGCCCAGGCTCCGTTCCCTGGGAGGCCACGCACACTACCAGCTCTACCTTCTGTTGCCTCCTCCCACTCCTGCCTTTGCCAGCCTGAATATTACTGTACAAACAAACCAGCCTGTGATGTGCTCCTGGATGCCATGTGATTAAACCCCTCCCCTTGCCACTGATGCACCCCCAGTCCTGCCCTGCCTGTGGTGGGGTGAGCACAGTAGGCCTGTCAAGAAATGACTCCCTTACTCGCGGGGGAGCCCTAACCTCGCACCCCCCAGGAGCCTAAGTTACCAGCTTCTCCCCCTCCACACCCTCCTCCCCCGACTCTCCATCCTTCTGTGAAGTCACGCGAGGGCAGGGAAGGGATCCAAGGCAGGTGGCCCGAGGAAGCAGGGGACAGGAAGGCAGCAGCGAGGCACTTGTGGTCAAGATCGGGCCACACTTGCAGGACTGACAATACCAATATACTTACGTGGTATTTTTCTTCAAATTAAACCACTTTTCAAATCCTACATATGTTTATTTTAAGGGGAAATTTACGTTACTACCGTAATTGGTAAACTAATACTATTTGTCATAAAATATGGTAAATATTCACAGCAAAAGTGAAAGAATGTCATCAACTATAAAAGCTACAGAATTGCAGCCTGCTTCTGACGTCTCAAGCCTGAAGGAAGATCTCTGTTTTAAAAGGATACAGTGTCTGCAGGCCTTACAGACATGCTGAAGCAAACTCGATGAATCCCCAGGATAGAAAGAGAGTGGGGAAGGGAGCACAGAGACAGCGCTCCGCTCTACCACCCTGTCCCCGCGCATCTTACACTTAAAGAAGCTGAACCGGGTTGGTGGTTTCCAGTGCTCCTTAGCAGCAAAATCTTTTTAAGTGAAATCTCACGCGGATGCCCAGTGCACAAAACAGATATTCCTCTGGCAGAAGAGAGACAGAGCCTCCCTTGGCCGCTTCCTGAACATCCCATGGAACCTTTGGGGCCGCAGACCCAGTCAGTCCCCCGTTCTGCCCAGCCCAGCCATCATACGAGGCAGCACGCAGGAGCCCACGGTCTCCCCAGAACCTCCTCTCTCCTTATTCCTGGTGTTTCCAGCTACTTTTGTGGAGGTTGTTTCCCAGCATCTTGGTGCCGGTGCTCCGGTGAGTCCTCCAGGACATGCCGCATAGGCTGGGCACACCCACCCACAAGTCCAATGGTGACTCCCTGGGTCCCCAGCCTGGCCCATAGTGCTTTGACCCCCAGACTCTCTGTTCCTCTCTCTGGTGAGGGGACCACCACCTCTACTCTAACATGGACAGAGCACAGCAGCCAAGTGCACCCTTGCCGTGCCCACAGCACCCAAAGACAGCCCAGCAAGAGGGACACGTGCCCCCGCCGGCCGGGCCGGGCCCCACCTGAAGCGTGGCGGGCGAAGCGGGGCTCCTGCCTGCTGACTGGGATGCTGGGCAGGGAGGCCCGGTTGGCTCGCTTCCTCGGGTTGCCACCGATGTTGTTTCTGCGTGGGCTGCTTATCCCTACGGGCACAGACAGGGTCCCCCTGCTCCGGAGGGGTAGCAGGCCTGCGGGGGCAGAAAAAGTCCCAGGATGGAGCCGGTTCCGTCTGTCCCGTGGCCCCGTTCTCCTTTGGAAATGGGCCCAAGGGCAGGCTTCGAGAGAGCAGGTCTGGCTCCCTGTCCACGCCTGGTGGGGAGCTGTGGCAACCTCTCTTTTGGCCAAGAAGTCTCCCCAGCCCGAGGGCATCCTGCCCGGGGTACCCAGTACCTTCCTTCGTCACAGTTCTGCGGGCACCCAGGCTCTGCGACAGGAGCTCCTGCTCCCGCTCCGGCTCCTGCACCCTCTGGGACAACTCCATCTCCTTCACCTGCTTTAACCGCATCTTCTCCTGGGCGGACTTGGAGATGGCGACCTGGATGTGACACAAGGTCAAGGCAAACTCCATTACCCTTGGGGACCCAACTGTGCTTTCCATACCTTCATTCATTTCATCGTGTGCCAATCGCTGTTCTGAGAAGAGACAAAATGACCAAGTCCTTGCTCCTAATAAGCGGCTATGGAATGGGGAGCCCAAGGGACAAAGAACAAACAGACCAGTCTCTAAGGACAGGCAATGCATCCCAGCAGGAACGTAAGGGACAGAGGGTGACGGGGTTTCGGTTTTAGGTAGGGGGGCCCAGGGGGACTAGCCGACCAGGCGAAGTGCAGGTAGAGATGTAAACAAACGAGGCAGCAGGGCAAGCAGAATTTGAGAAGTGTCCTCCGCAGAGGGAACAGCAGAGGGAACAGCGAATGCAGTTGCCCTGAGGCTGGAGTGCGCTGGGCTTGCTGGGAGCAGTGAGGATGGTACTGGCTGGGGCAGCCAAGGCAGAGGATGGCGGGCTGTGGGCAGGAGCGAGCATGCGCGGGCTTGATGGCCCCTGCTGAGGACTTCGGCTTTTCCTCCGAAGGACACAGCGAGCCACTGGAGGTTCTGCACAGAGGAGTAACATGATCTGACTGCCACTGGGGGCGGGGGTTCTTTTTTATAACTTATTACTGCTCTTTCTTATAATTTATTTTGAAATGACTTAAGACTCACATGATGTTGCAAAAATAGAACCAAGTTCCCATGCAATGGGGTGAGGGGCTTGTGCCAAGGTAGCGGGAATGGGGATGGCAGACGGGCCAGTTCTAGACAATTTCAAAGCAGAGCCCGCTGCTCTTGCTGGTGTGTGAGGTGTGCGATGAGAGAGAGAGGGGAGGGGAGGATGCGCCCAAGATTTTTGGCCAGAGCAGCAGGACGGCTGGAGTTGCCTTTTATTACCACTCGCTGAGAGGGGGCATTGAGAAAGGGAGGTTTTGGGGGGGTCGAGGTTTTGGGGGGGTTAAGGTTTCAATAGTTGATTTTTGGACAAGGTAAGTTTGAAAGATAATTAGATACCTAAACAGGGATGGTGAGTATGTATATATATGTATATACCTATATATGGTTATATATTATAGACCTATAATTTTTATATAATTACATATGATAATTTAGGGTTGTATGTATACAATTTAACTGCCACTGGGTGTCAGGGGAAGGTCTGGGCTGGAAGGGACATTGAGTCCTCAGCACATAGATGGTACTTAATGCCACGGATTAGATCAGGTCACAAGGGTCAGTATAAATGCACAGGAGGCCAGAGGTCTGAGCTCTGGGGGCCCGCAGCACGCAGAGGTCAGGAACGCGAGGAGGACCAGCCAGGCAGGGGCTGCCTTAATGCAGGCAGAGAACCAAGGAAGAAGCCCCCACCCCTAGGCGGGGAATGCAAGTAGAATGCACTACAAAGGTTGCTGATGGATCAAGTTAAAAGAGGGCAGTGAGGTGCCAGCCCTGGCAGGGGGACGGTCATCAGTGGCCTAGACGTGGGCAGTTTCAGTGGGGCCGTGGGGACCAGGCCTGACTGCAGTGGTCTCAGGCGAGAACGGGCTCTGGTTTTCGAGAGAGCTGTTCTGGTTTTGTTCTGTTTTGTTAAGATGCAAGAAACAACAAGGAGCTAAGATGCTGATAGGAATGATCCCCTTTCGAGGAGAATATGGTTTTTGCAAGAGAAGGAACACGATGCTAGAGCTGGAATATCAGACAGATTGAGCTAGAACAACCGGAGATGGCCGTGCGTGAACAGGACGCTTGACCTTGAGATGCCGGCGGGGGAGGAGTTATTCCCGGAGCCGAGGCCCCCGGTGTGGCCGTGGGAGTGAGTGGCTAAGGCGAGGTGGAGGACGGGGTCGTTCGCAGCACGGAATCATCCTCCTTTGTCCCGGCCCTGTCCCCTCGCCGCGGTGGGAGGACCGTGGGCCCCGGCCTTACCGTCGCCATCACTGGATCCAGCCCTGACACAGCACCTGCGCACAGCAGGCCTTCGAGATGTGTTTGCTGCGCTTTTACATCTCTGTTTCAAAGAAGGAGCTTGAGTCCCCATCACAGTGACTCTCCCAGCTTTACTAAATTCACTCAGACCAGGGAAGAGAAGCATCTGGGCCAAGGTCACCTTAGAGGTGCAAGCTATTTGTCAGACTGTCAAGCACAGCCTTTGGCTTGTATCTGTCTCAGTCAGCTGCCTCTCAGTTGCTATCTTGGGGGTTGGCTCAGATTACTCGGCCTGGTTCACCTAAGCCCCTCTGCACTCCACATCCTGCTTCCTTCTGGACCACATGTGCCCTCCTTCCTCCCTCCCTTCCTCCCTCACCGCTGCCCTCAGCTCCCCCTGTACTCTCCCCTCTACCCAGTCCTCCTCACCCCTCCTTCTCTGCTCTCTCCTTCCTCTTTTCTTAGCCTTCTCCCCAAGCCCCTTGCAGGCTCTCGCCTTCAGTACTGGGGCGGCTGCCTCTGAGACCCTTCCTTGCTTTCCTCAGGCTGGACCCACACTGGTATAGTTCAAAAACATGCTTGCGTTCAGCCAGGGGTCCACTCTGACCCCTACTTCCTCCTCCCCTGGATTTCCAGATACCTTGGTGCTGCTCTCCTTCTGGTCCTCCTCCTTTAGCAAGGGGTGGGCTTCGTTGGCGTGGCCGGAGGAGAAGGCTGTGTCTGAGGGAGCCGACTGGGGTGAAGGCAGGGCCGGCTTCACAGGGGCCGCAGACCTGTCTCTGGTGGGCGGGGCCGAAGGTTTTGGCGCTGAGGAGTCAGGAGCAAGAAGGGAACTGAGAACACGCAGCACCCTAACCAGCAACTGTCCCTTTGGGAAGCCCTGAGGCTCTATGACCCTGTGACTGTGTGTGACATTTTAGTGCCTAAGCCCCCCACCCTTGATTCTTCGGCCCAGCACTCCCTGGATGGAGAAAGACCCAGGTTAAATTCACTGTACAGAGCTGCCCTGCCAGACATAGCACAGGCTGTCCAAAGACCAATAGCCTCCTCCTTTCATGCATTCATTCATCCACTCATTCACTTACTCAGTAGTTACTGCGCACCTCATTCTACTACAGGGAAGGGCACGGAGGAAGCTGGGCAAGAAACAAGGCCATCTGATCCGTTACCTAAGCAGTTTAAGATACTTCCTGAGAATGTAGATCCAACTTATGGACTTGTGGGTGGGTGTGCCCGGCCTATGAGGCATGTCCTTGAGGGAGGTATGTCCCTCAGGAAAAAATGAAACGAGCCCACCGACCATTTTACACCAGTGTGCACCTGTCTGAGGCTACGACACAGCGGGAAGGGGCCAGAGAACTGATGCTGACCCAGTCCTCTCATTTTACAGATGGGAAGGCTGAGACCCAGCGACCTTCAGATGCCCTTGTGACACACACTTGTTTCCAAATGACATCAAATCCATGGCATTTCTTTGTCACTCTATATTCCCCTGATCAAATGATTTTAAAAATACATTCTTATTAGGGAAACAGGGTGAGGGTAGATTCATTCGTTTTCTTTTAATGAAAGGAATGTTAAGCAGTTTCTCCTGCTCACAAATTTGGAGCTCACCACTGTTGGGTGAACCTGAAGATCGGGGGTCCACTGGGATGAGGGCCACCATCTGGGGATGCCTGAGGCTGGAAAGGACGTCTGAGTCTGGGGCTCTGCGGGGCTCCCAGGGCACCCGGCCCTCTGCCTGGCCCGTGCCTCATGTGAAGGCCCCCTCTGCTTGGAGCAAGGAGTGCCCAAGACGCTGGAGAAGGACCCGTGGCCAAGGAGGAGGAGCCGCTGGCTCGCCTTCCATCTGCCTGGAAGTAAGAGGCAGAACAGAGGGCAGATGTGTCCTGGTGCCAGCTGACCAAGGCAAGGACCACAGGAAGCCACAAGGTTTGGGGCAGCCGTCAGCTTCAGACGATACCACGTGAGCCTCTCTGGACCAGGAGCGTTATGAGTATCGGGCTGTATTACCCCCAGGTGACAGCTGGAGAAGCAGAGCCCCGTAAGGACTTGGCTATTTTGAATCCTCCCTCCCCACCTACACCTCCAGGAGACACACTGGAAAGCCTTGTCCAAACAGCCTGCCCCTGCCCCCAGGCTGTGGGGACCTGGTTCCTCAAGCAGCAGGTAGGCAGGCAGACAAGGGAGTGGTTAGGGACCGGGATGTCCTGCCCAAACCCCCACGCCGGCACTCTCAGGGTCAGCTCTAAGGGACGCCCGGGGTGCCAGGGCGCGTCACACCAGGCTGTCTGAGCTCACCCGCCATGGCCCGGCCTGGGAAGGGGGCAGGCGCAGCTGCCGCAGGGGCTTCTGTGCCAGGCCTGCCTCTCGGGCGCAGCTGCACATCCTGACCCGGGCCTCTTGGGCAGCAGCCTGCGCCTCGCCAGCCGACCCACCTGCTGAGCTGATTACGAGAGAGACCTGCAGGCAGCTGGACCAGGAGCGCACTCCCCTTGCCGATGAGGCTGGGCTCAGGGCGCTCTGCCAAGGTGCCCTCACCTAACCTGCCCAGGGGTCAGCCTCGGGCCACCGTGCCTGCATCTCCGCAGATGGGTCACCGGGTGGAGAGCCTCCTCCCCTCCCACCGAAGCCCGTCTCCCCGCGCCTTCCCCGCCCCGCTGGCCCTGTTCCCCGACCCTGAGGCCTGCTGGCTGACTCCCGGCTTGTGGGACGCGGGGTAACTTCTCTCCCCGCCCGGTAAGGAACACCCTCCTCCACCTGCCTCACAGAGCGCAGGGGCAGCTGCGCGGGGTGCTGCTTTGGAGCCACGTGGGCCCACGGGGCGACGCACGGGGCTGGCTGCCTTCCACGCTCCGAGACCAGGACAAGGTCTGGCTCCCTGAGCCTCAGTCGTCCCTTCTTTGGCCAAAGGGGCACAGCGCCTCCGCCCTCAGCTGGGTCCTTGAGAAGCTCCTCGCACTGGTGCCCATCAACACGCGGGCACAGCTGGGGCCACCAGTGTGGCAGGACCGCTGACGTCGGCGTCCCCATCCCAAAAGTGAGGGGCCGGGATCCGACAGCTCCCGGGTCTCTCCTGGCCCTAATTCTGATCCCATGACCCAGCACAGGAACCCGAGCATTGAATTACAAATGGGGGTGCGCGTGGACAGTACGTACCCAGAGATTTAGGGGTCTTCTCCCGAGGCCCACTCTCCCGAACCAATCTTAAAAGAATGGGGGAGAAAAAAAGCACCGTAAGCAATAGCAAGGGAAAGCTGCCGCCATGAGGAGCCCTGGGCAGGAAGCTTGAGGTCTGGTGACACCCGAGGTCGGGGACACTGCGGAAGGGGGCCCTGTAAAGCAGCTCGTAGCCAGGGGTTCAAAGCTACAGTAATGCAGCTCCTTCCGCCAACTCCGGGGAAGGCTGGTGCCCAGACACAGCTCTGAGCCCCCTTTCCCGGCTGCATGGACCCCCGATTCCCTGGGAGGCCAGTCTGTCTGCCGAAACCGCTTGGTCTTAAGGAAAGCCCACCCCCCGCTGTGACCTGCAGCAGGTCAGGGCCACCTCTCTTCTCAGTCTGGGGCAGACTGAGCGCGAGTCCTCCGCACTGTCCCCCCACCCCCCGCTCATGAGAGCCTGACCCCTAAATACCCACCCCGTGCACCCCAAGAGGGATCGAGTTCCTTTGCAGTTGATGGGAAATCCCTACTGTTTGTCTTAGATCCCAAACTACCCACAGGAAGGGAATAGAGAGACATTTCTGCACTGGTTTTAATAGTTGATACTTTAAATAGGCAGCACCATTTACTCATTCAACTGATATTTGTTGAAGACCTACTCTGCGCTGAACACAGTTCTAGACCCTTGGGAGTGGCGAGTGTCAATAAATCAGAGGATGACCCCTCCCCTCCCTCCGAGAGCTTACACTCCACGAGGACCAGGTCCACCAATGTGGCTTTTCTCTTCTCATGGGGAACTGCACGAACACCGGGACCCCTGGGGTTTGACGGCGTAAAAACCACAGCAAAAGGACTGGGAGCCCACATCCTGTGTGCTGACCTCAGAGGGCTCACCCAGCAGAATGACCCAGGCTGGAGTGGCTGGAGGGCGCGCAGCAGGAGAGCCCACGTCAGTGCCTGCCCGGTCCCAAGGGACCTCTGTCCCAGGCAACCATGGCGGACAGAGGGCCTGGCAGCCGCCTAAATGCCCGGTCACTCCTTCACATCTCTCCCCGCCTTCTCCTTTTCAAAAACCCTCCCACAGCCTTCAGAACTCAGCTTGGGCCTCACCTCCTCCAGGAAGTCTTCCCAGCCTGACAGATCATCTGCCACTGGGCTCCCCAGAGTGACAGACAGATTTCTATCCTAGCAGTTAACTCACTGGGCTTCAAGTCAATGGTTTGCTTGTAAATCTCTCTCATGAGCCACTAGAACACAGATGTCGGGGCTGGCTTAGCTTTGTTTCTGCAGCACCTGGCACATAGTAGGTACTTAATAGTTTTAAAGTGAGTCAGTGGGAGGATGCATGGGTGCAGATGGATGAATGGATGGATGGATGAAAGAAGTGGTAACTAAGGCTCCTCCCCACCCATTGGCTAGAGAGTCTCGCAGAGCCAGTGAAGAGGCATCTGTGTCACATCCCGACAGCAAGGGGGCAGATATTTGTGATGTGACCATCCATGCCAGGCACCAAGCTTGGTAGCACAGAAGCCACAGAGATTTCGAGATACGGCCCCCGCCCTGTTGTGCTCCAAGTTAAAGAATAGAATGGGTTTAAATAAAAGTTGAGCAAATCAACAAAAAGGTGCAGGCGGGCCCCCGACAGGCTTCACACCATGTGGACAGTGCAGAGAAGTCACCTCCCACCCAAGGCGAGCCGGGGAGACCCTAGAGCGAGGGCCAAAGTGGGGCCAGGGCCCGAGAACAGTAGGAACTGGTGGCGGGGCAGGGTGAAAGGCTCCGTGTGGAGCTTCAGGGATGGAGAGAGGAGGTGCCATTCGGGCTGGGCAGCCGCAGGGCCCTGGCAGGTGGGAAGGCGCCTGCAGAGCAGCCCAGGAGTGGGGAGCGGCGAGCTGGGGCACCTTGAAGGGCAGACCAAGGAGACTCATCTTTAAGCTGCTGGCAGCAGAGAGTCAGTACAGGTGAAGTGCATGGGCGAGGTGTATGGGGTGAGGGGGGAAACAAAAGATTAGATCCAGGGTTCAGAGCTGCGGGGGAGGGGGCGGGGGAGGAGATCAAGAGGGAGCCAGTAAGTGCAAAACGGAGGCCTGAGAGGAAGGGAGCATCAAGGGAGGGGGGAGCCCTTGTCTTTTAAGGAAGACCTGCCGGGGATGAGGCGATCTGTTAGGACCGAAGGCAGTAGGGGCAAGAGTCACAAACGGTGCCAAGATGGGAGATGAAGGAGGAGGCCTGCCCTGGGGAGGAAGTCAAAAGGTCGTCGTGGGGGAGGCAGCTGGGGGACACAGGAGGTGCTAGGTGGTGCTGCAGTAACACAAGCTTGACTCTGGGGAGGCCTCTGGGCACAGCAAGGGGTGTGGAAGTCACCCAAGCCACCCGCACAGGTAAGATCCCAAGGAAGGACAAGCAGATGGGAGACAGGGCCCTGGAACGAATTCCAGAAATCGCCACATTTAAGAGACTGATGAAAGAGGGCACTCGGGAGGCTGCCTGGAAGGCCGAGAAGCAGGCAGAAAGCGAGAAAGGGGGAGGAGGAGAAGAGTTCTCAGAGCAATGTGCCGGCCACTTGTCTGGAGCCGGAGAGTCATTCTAGCCACCAAGAACGCCTCTCAGAGGCGAGAAAGGGGCAGATGTACAAGCAGGAAAGAAGGAGGGAGCGTCTGACAGGGAGGGAGAAGAGGCGGTGGGGCAGGCCACTGGGTGAGGACCAAGCATGGAGCTCAGGTCCCGGAGCAGGTCCACGGACAGCTCCCCACGCTCCAGTGGGGGGAATATGGGGACACGGGTGCAGACAGAGGGAAGGCAGCATGAGAGACACAGAGAGTAAAGGGCGGAGAGAAACGGAAGTCAGTGCATCGGGCCCCAGGGAAATGGCAGAGAAGTAAGTCACAGCAGGAGACTGGCCATGACCTGTGGTGGGTGAGCCAGGCCATGAGCCCTTCTCCCTCTCTCCCTCTCCCTCTCTCTCTCCCTCTCTCCCTCTTTCTCTCTCTCTCTCTCTCTGTCATATGTGCACGTGCGTGCGCACACACTCCGACTCCAGTCTGGACCAGCCGCAGGTGTGTGCCTGTCCATCCGCAGAGCACTGTCTGTCCCGCTTACACTCCATAAACTCAAGTTCATTACAGCACAGGGATCCTCTGCCCTGCTGGTTCCCAGCCTTGTTTGGGTATGAAGACCCTTTCAAAGTTTTGTGGACTACCCTCTGCCTGCACCCTCAAACAAGTGATAATGCTTGTATTTTTAGTGTCCATTTATCAAGAGAATACATAATAACAAAGAGCTACCATGAATTCAATAGAACTTTAAACTAACTTGTATTTCATCGATCACTGCAGCAGCCACACACACACCAGGAAACTGGCAGAAGGGACAGGCTGCGGGGAGTCGAGGCCCAGGGCAGGGTAATGACGCCGCGGCCTCCCCAGCTCATGGGTGAGGGGCCTGCCCTCCACACGCCCAGTGCCCCAGAGCTCTGCCCTGGCATGGAGGTTCAGCCATGGGGACCCCAGGCAGACCTTGGGGGGAAAGAAGGAGAGAGGCTTGCAAGGTGGTTTTGACTTAGAGCTGCTTACCGTGCGGGGGGAGCCCTCGGACCCTTGAGGACGTCCCGGCCTGGAAGCAAGAGGCTGGGAAGGGAGCCAGGCGTGCCGGAGGAGGTCCCCGTGGGCACCCCCGCCTTTGGGATGGGTGGGATCACAATGCCGCCCAGTGACTTGTGCATCTTCCGGTCACTGCAGTGCAGGTACTGCCGGGAGATCCGCACCTGGGAGCAGAGGTGGGGAAAGGCCCTGGTCCACAGAACCACCCCCTGCCGGACACCCACCTCCTAGGCCCTCACAGGGGCGGTCACTTCTATCAGGGGCCACCTGGGCGGCCATGCGGGGAAGTGTCCTCTGGTTTCTGTTCCCAGCCACACCTCCCTGGGACCCCCAGAAAGTTTGTTGTTTCCTGGCCTCTTCCAGGCAACAAGACTGGTAAGGGGACCCCTCGTCCCCCTTCCAACCCCTTCTCCCATAATTAGCGTTTGTTTTTCTGTTCCCCTCATTTCAGAAAAATCTTAGAATGTCAGAGCAGGAAGGGATCTTCAAAAGCATCTGGCCCGGTCCCCATTTTTTAGAGGTGTGTGAACTGGGGCCCCGAGAGGGCACTGACTTGGCCAAGGCCACACAGCCAGCGAGAAGCAGAGCGGAAACCGGAGCCCAGACTCCTGAGTTCTCACCCAGCATGCGCTCCCTCCTGCCCCACTCCCTGGCCTTAAATGGGAAGGCTCGGAAGCACGAGGGATTCTGGAGCATTTAGACCAGAGAAGGGCTGGGGGCCACCAAGTGAAGGACGATGGTCACACAGCCTCTGCCTGGATGGGGGCAGCCACCCAGAGCTCCCAGGCCAGCGATAACAGTTTTGGCGGCTGTGGAGGAGATGGGATGCGGGCCCCCAAGCCCCTCCAGTGCATCCCCATCCCTCAGACACCTCTGGAGAAACATGGAGCTCGGGAACAGGGGTTGATAAGGGATGGAAGGAAAGACAGAGGGACAGAGAGGCAAAACTCAGCGTAGTCGAGTCTCCTCACCTCCTGGGCACCGGATCTCCTCTCCTGGGGCCCCTGGCTGCTCCCAGGCTGGTCCGGGCTCCTCTCCTTGGTTCCGCTGGTCTCGGGTGTTGTCGGGATGCTCTGGATGGGAGGCATCGGCCTGGGTACCCTCAGCAGCCTCTTAGAGGTGGCCCGGGGAAAGGCACCCCTCAGGGGAATGCCTTTGGGGCCTCCCCCAGGATCCAGAGAGGCTGTATGGGGTGGGGACAGGGAAGAAGTCAGTCCCAGGAGCTCATAAAGTGGGGGTAATTCAGAGGCTGGCGGGGGAGGGCAGGGGGGCAGGGCCCAAGGCTCACCTTGGGTAGAGGCTGCCAAGCCCTCTGAGAGCCTCCTTTTCTTGAGCTTGTCCTTGATCTGGGTGGTGTCCCGGGCCACACTGCTGGCCTCTGACTCCATCGAGGGTGGGGGCAGCAGGGAGTGGGACCCCTGAGACAAGGCCCCGAGGGGTCTAGGGGCATCATTCCTGGCCTGCCAGCCTTGCAGGGGGGCATCCAGCCTGAGGCTGCCAGGGCCGCTGTCTCCACTCAAGAGCGGTGACGGCTTCTCCAGGAGGATGCTGGACGTTGCCTGGAGGGAAGCTGAGGGAAACAGAGGCAAGACTGTCTCGGCGCACAGAGCCCAGGGTGGCACAGAGCACCAGCAAACTCTTTGGCGCTGCCTCATTGGAACCACCAGCCGGTGGCCCGGTGAATCCATCACTCCATGGGGCGATGCATTCACTCGACAGCCCCTAGGAGGGACCTGACCCGAACGAGACCTGTGTCATGAGGTAACTAGGGGGTGAAAAGTGGAGTTGACATGGAGCCCATCACAGCACCTAGTCTAGGGCCATAAATACTTGCAGAAGGCCTTCTGCCCAGGGACCCCCGCCTGCCAGTCTCCAGGACCCAGCCCATTCGCTCGGTATACTGAGCGCCTGACACCCACCAGGGGCAGACAGAAAAGGGTCACTCCTGTGGATCAGAACAAATCCCGCTCCCACACAGATGCCAGCTCATCCAATCACTCCTTCAACAGACACTCCCTGAGCATCTAGTACGCGCCAAGCACTGTCCAGGCGGTTGGAGATGCAGAGGTGTGTGAGGCACACTTTTTTTTTTAATGGAGGTTCTTTTCTTACTACGTTACCTTAGAACAAATTATTTGAAAATAATTTATGATATTACCATGAGAACACATAGACAAGATATAGCAAAACCGTTGTGAGATTTTAAAATCCTCTGAATCTTTTTCTTTCCTCGGTATTAAAACAGTTCAACAATATTGCTCTAAAACAGAATTGCTACCTAGTAACGCCCCAGGGTTTTTTCTTTTCTTTAGGATCTTCAAGTGCCTATTATCCCATTTTAGGATTCCACCCAACATGTCCCTTATGACAGTTTGTGTAGGAATAAAACACAATGTAGAATAGCATCTAATTTCTATTCCACTTGCGTGAACCAGTCTTTATCACTAACGGGCTTTCAATCTATTAGAGAAATCAACTATGTTCCTAAGTGGGTTCATTACAGGGTAAGATGTGAGACATGGCGTAGAAAGACAACAACAAGATGCCTGGTGCACGTACAGGAGGAGGATCTGGAAAACCCTCCCGAAGCGAAGTGTTTGAACTAGGCCTTGAAGGAGCCTGGCCCCGGTGGGGTGGGGGCGGGGAGCACACAAACAGACCCGCTTGCAGAACTGTCCTGCCCGCAGCTCTCCTTGGAGCACCTTGATGTAAACTGTGAGCCCCCGCTGCCCAGGCCACGATACTGGCCTCGTGCCAGCGCCAGACCCAATGAAAGCTGAACTCGGTGCCAGCCACAGGCCTGCAAGGGGGCTGGCCTGGAAGAGGTCATGTGGCCAGCCCAGATTCTGCACCCAAGCACTGGGTCTGCAGGACAGCAGACTCTGTCTTTCTGGGGCTCTTAGGGCTTCCCTGGGGTTTCCAGGAGAGCCAGGCACGGCTGAGGTCCCCACGTCCCCTTTCCGAGGGTCCCCCTCTGTACACCTCCATCCCCCAAGGCCCGGAGTTGAAAGAGCCCACCGCAAACCGAAGGGCATCGTCAGCGGGGATGAGCCCCACACCTGCTCTGTGGTCACCAGCCCTGACCGGGCAGCTGCTGGGCAGTGTGCCCCGTTCTCCACACAAAGACCCCAGCGAGGCAGCCTGGGCACTTGAAAGCCACTTGGTGAGACACCAGGCCGAGCCCTCCAATCTCACCTTCTCCATCAGCCTGCAGCCCGGAGTCGCGGCCCCCGCCTGGGAGCACTCGGGGCCCGAAGCTGGTCCGGGGGGCGCTCCCACAGCACACCGCCACCGGGGCCAGTGCCTTAGCTGGGGACAGAATGGCAAGGAAAGTGGCTTCTCAGAGACCAGCCCTGGGGAGCGGGCTGCCCCGAGCTCTCTGGCCCTGGGGCCTCCGCGGCCCATCCCTCCGCACCAGAGCCTGGCCCTCAGATGGGGGCCTGCTAGCCCCACCCAGCCGGCCAGGTACCATGGTCACCCCAAAGGCCGCGGCCTGCCCCCCCGCCCGCCTCCAGCCCCTTGCCAGGCTGCCGCCCCCCCCCCAACACACACACCCTGTGGCCTTCCTCTCCTAGCTTGGCTCCTCACCCGCCACCACCGCACCCCTTCTCAGCCCTCCTGGCCGCCCTCCCCCTCTATCCCCTGCACCTTGCACACCAGCTGCTCTCACTGGGCCGCCCCTTCCTTGTCATGCCTTTGATTGTCACCACCACGCAGTAACCCCTCACCTGTGCCTTTGGCTCTGATGCCCCGCCTCCCGTGGCAGAGCAGAGAGACCCATTTCCTGCTCCACTGCCTTCTCCCAGAGGCCCGAGCGCCTCCTGGGGTCCTACAAGGAGCCTCCCTCTTCACTCCTGAGCGCCCTGCTCAGCGGCCGGCACCATGGACCCCACTGCACTTGTTTATTAGGAGCTACTCTGTCAGGGACCCAGCCCCTCGCAGCCCCTGGGCTTACAGCACTGGCAAGGCTGACTCAGTCCCCAGTGGGGGTACAATGAGCAACCAGCAATAACAGTGTGGGGGCTGTGAGCCCCAGTGGGGTGGGGACAGGCAGGGCCTCCCGGGGGCAGGACCCCTGAGCTGAGAGCCCGATGAACAGGAGGGGAGACCCAGCTAAGCGCCACTCCTCTGAGAAGCCCTGCATCTGCTCTGCCTCCCAAAGCACCCAGCCCCCTCCACAGTGGATTCTGCCCTCCGTGCCTCTCCCTGCCTGGCCCTGTGGCCTCTGCATTCATCTCTGTAGTGTGAGCCCAGGGGGGCACTTAAATGTTTGCAAACTGAACCAATGGTCGTGGCTCAGCTCCTCCCACACACACTTCAGTACGGGGGCCCTGGTCCACCACCTGGAGAAGCCCCCACGCAGGTGAAAACCCAGCACGCCCACCCCCACGGTGGAAGGTTCCTAAACCAGGAGCCAGGGGTCCGGGCTCCCATCCTGTTTGTGTCCCTGTGTGACCTTGGGGAAATAAGATAACTTGCATGACTGTTTGTCCCCGGATCAGTAAGTTAAGAGCGTTGAACAGGACCAGGGGCTCACACAATCACATCCTCATTCCATTTCTAGGTTTCTAGAGTTTTCTGACGCCTTCAGCGCCTCCTGGGGCCGGATCTGACACTGCACTAAGCTAGGCAGCTGTTTTCCCACCGACGCTGATGTATCACAGCCCAGGGCGCTCTGCCCGGGGCTCAGTGGGCCACCCCTGCCCTGAGGCAGGCTCTGGTGTTCATTCGGGGGCCCCCTGCATTCGCCCCAAGTGGTCGCCTAGCCTCTGCTCCAACCTCTCCACGGAACAGCGGCTCTTCACTTCAGAGCACCCATTCTATCGGGGCAGGACCCGCTCGCCCCTCACTCTCCAGGGGAAACTGAGGCTCACATAACCGGCACCCAGAGGCAGTGCCAGGCCTAGAACCCCGTCTCCTGACACTGAGCCGGCCACACAGTCCCCGCTGTCCTATCTTGTCAGCAGAGGAAATGGGGACACACAGCTCTCCCTGAGACCCCCCAACATCCTCTGGCCATCCTCATTATCCCACCACAGAAGGGGGCAGCCCCTTGGCCGGCCCCCCAGCTCAGAGAGGAGGCTGGGCTCTGGCCGCTCCTCCCCAGGCCAGGGCGCCCTCAGGCAGGAAGCTGAGCCGGAGGACCAGAGTCAGCCCATGGACAGCTGGGCCAGGGTGGGAGGCGTGGCCCTCCTCCCCCACCCCCACCCCCTGGCTGCATCTCCCAGGCAGAGCCCGGTCTCCAGGGTGGGCCACAGAAGATCCTGACCCATGGCCTCCGTGACTGCCTCTTACCTGGGGGGGCGGCGTCACGGTCAGCCATGCCCTGCATGGAGAAGGGGCTTGGGAGATTGTCCAGAGGCAGCAGCTGCTTTCTGGCAGTGAGTACAGCTCTCAAGAGTTCAAGGGCCCCCACCCATGAACATCCAGGGACCTCTGGTGGGGAGGGGGAGAAAGAAGTCAGTTCACGGATAATAAATGCTTTTTAAATACTTCCCAGAACACCTGCTAGGAACTAAGTAAAGCATTCTCTAGTACAACCTGGCACTGGGCTGAAGGACAGTTCTTTTCTGACATTTGGCCTCTCTGAACACTTCAAAGTTTCCAACTGTCAAGGGCACGTGCCTGGGGGCAGTCTCCCTGATGAAGAGCATCCAGGAGACCCGAAAACCTGGCTTTGCAGACATGCCTTAGGGCTGCAGGCATGGAGGGATTTATCAAGGGGAGCCTGACACTTAGTTTCTCCATCAGTTTCCGTTTTTTGCAGAAACCATTGCTCTGCCAGATGCCCCGGAAACTCACAACGAATGTCAAGCTTTGTGATCCCAGCCATCGCTTGGTGGCATCTCCCAGGAGCCAGCTCTCCAGCTTTCCTTCAGGGCACGCCCGTCACCCCCTGCCCACAGCTCTTGGCCCTCATTCTCACCTCGCTGCCAAGCCAAACCTTGGCCCCTCCAAACCTCCTCCCAGCCTCCCATAAACCTCTGGGGCCGGCCATCAGCTCTCATCTTCAACCTAACTTCACTCTCTATGTAACAAGAGTCTCGCCGCAGACTCTGTGACTTCACACAATTTTATAAATTCTTTGCTGAGAAAATGGTGAGCACTTTTTCCCCTGACAGGCAGGGAGATGGGTGGCCAGAGCTGACCAGTGATAAAAATCAGGGGTTAAAGCCACATTTACATGTAAAAGGCCACCAATTTCTACTCCAGGGTAGGTAGCTCCCTTGAGTACCATCTGGGGACAGGGCAGGATGCAGTGCCAACTCCCTTTGGCTGAGCAAGAAATCCCCACTCAGGACTGAGAGAACCTGCCCTCCACCTGGGAACCGCCCGCCACAGTCCCGCCCAGGGCCCAGGAGACACAGCAGCTCCTGGCAACGCTTCTGGCCAAACAGAGGCTCTGGCCCAGCCCACACCTGCTCTCAGGGCCTAGGACCTCCAGGCGCTCGGGTTCTCTGTCTGAAGAGAGTTTTCCTCACAACCAGGGCAAGAAGGCAACTCCCTGTCTGCCTGCTATGGGGATGAGGATTTGGCCAGAGTTGTGACAAGCTGCCAGCCGTGTCCAAGAGACTTAGCATTTCTCCCAAGCCAAGGTGGCCGAAGATTTTCCTCCGCAGGTTCCAACACCCTGCCCCTCCTCCTGCCCCTCCTCGTCCCAGTGGGCTGGGAGAGAGACAAGAGATGGGAACGACGCTGCTTCCAGCAGAGACCAGAAGGAATGTTGCAGAAGAGGACAGACCTTCCCCAGCTGAATAAAAGCAAACAAGCTGGAGTCCGGGTTCTGGGAGCAGGGAGAGCTGCAGACCCCACAGCCTCCCACTACCGCAACTGACAGGAGTTTAGACTTTCTATGCAAATTACATGTAGACAAGCAATATTTAGCCACAGCTCTTGTTGGCAGCCTTGGCTACAGCTGAGAATCTCCTGGGGACTGATTAAAATGACAAATTCCAAGGCCCTACCTCAGGCTCCTATTGAATTAGTCTTCTAAGGGGCAGGCCACAGGGATCTGTTTGTTTTTTTCCCCTTAACTCTCGAGTGATTTTGACATTCAAACAGGATGGAGAACCACTGGGCTGTACAGTTCAGATTCACTTTATAACAAGGTCCCAGCCCTACTTCTCACCTTCAGCTGTCAACATGGTTATTTTTGCCTTGGTTTCCCCAAAGTGACCACTCACCAGAGGCTAAAGAAAAGAGTCGGAGCTGCCAGAGAGGACAGAGAACACAAGCTTCCGTGGCCCCCGCTATGGCAAAGGGCCTTCTGAACTACACTGTCCCCCACCCTGCCCACCACAAACCACCCAGCAGGCCGAATGGCCACCAGCCAAGAGCCCACATGATCCCCTGCCCTGAGGGACACCAGCGGTACAGGAAGGAAACCTGGGTCCCCTCCACAGCCTGCCAAGGCTACCCAGCAGGCTGGGCCACTTTTAGGCCTGCCCCATCTGGGCCTATGCCTTTGACCTCTCAGACCCTCAAGGCCTAAAGTGCAGGGCCTCTTAGGCACCTGCCCAAGGGGAGGCGGCTACAGCTGCATATGGACAACCAACCATCTTTGATGTCTTATGTGAGAGAAATGGGTGGCACCTCCTCAGGAAATCACTTAGCCCAGGACCTGGTAGGAACTTCAAGATCCATGTCCAAACCATAAAAACTAGAATCAGAAATCCCAGCCCAATGGAAACAAAACTTTGGGGTTTAGTGTGGATAGTGCTTAGTGCTGGACCCCACAAGGCACAATTTACTAAGCCCCCACTTGCTCCCAGCACACTCTTCTGGGCACCAAGGAGTGGCTGACCTGAAGGCGCTGACCTGAAGGGCTAACAGCGGGGGGCTCTGGGGACCTATCCTCACTCCCCGATGCTCTGGGTTGCCCAAGCCTGGTGGGTCCTCTGCCCTCGGCCTCAGTTTCCAGCTCAGGGAACGGGGCAGCCAGAGGTAACCGGACGTTGTGCACTCCTTCCACTAAAGCTATGACTACAGAGGTTCCATGGTGACCAGTACCACAGGAATGAAGAAAGGTGGCAGAAGGGACTCAGGTTTCAAGCAGAAAGGAAACAAAAATTAGGACTGGCTCAGTTAAGAATTTCAGCCCCAAGGACAAAAATCCCGACCACCCCGGCGACTTTCCCAGCCCATAGGGAGCAGGCCCTGCCCCACGTCCGCCTGCCTTGCCCCCCGGAGGCTGGCTGACACCCGTCCTGAGAGACCAGACCACAGGCATGGGGGCAAAAGCAAGGCTCTGAGGAGGGAGGAAGGGTCAGAGCCTGGAGCGCAGGAGGGGAGAGGCAGCCCCACCTGCCCCCTCCCGGGGCTGCCGCCCTCACAGCTTCTCTGCGGGGCCGGGGGCCGGTGACACTGCCCACTCCTCCTGTGGAGACCGCTGAGAGGTGTGGTGCCAGGAGGCCGGGGTCCTTCTCTCTCAGACGCGTCTGGTGGGAACCATAGTGCCCGCACCAAGGTGAGCAGAGAAAAGGAGGAGGGGAAAGTGAGCAGAACTGACTTTGAACCCAAAATAAGCCTCCTGTGGAAATACCCTCTGAGGAGAGGCTTAGATCCAGGCACCCCTACCACTCCGCACGCCAGGGTCCAGAACGCTCCTAAATGTCCCCCTTGGGACTCCTAGAACATTGGCTTTGGGGTCAGACGGCTGGGTTGGAGGCCTGCCCCTGCCCCTCTTATCTTAACTTGAGAAATTTATTTAATTCCTCTGACTTTGGTTTCTTCCTCTTAAAAAAAAAAAGTCCTAATAAAAGGTAGTGTTAGGATTAAATAAAGTCATGTGTAAAAATAACTTAGGACCATTACTGGTATAGAGTAGTTGCTCCTCCGTCCCCCCACACACGTGCTCACACGTGCCTGGAAACCCCGGTACCCAGACGGTGAGCCAAGCCCCGGGAGCCAACGCCGTCCATGAGAAGAGCCGGCCATGAGAGTGTGCGCACAGCAAGGACAGCCAGGGAGCAGGGAGGCCGGGCCCGGGTGCCGGGAAAGCCAAGAGAGTAGAGAGCGACCAGAAGTGTCGCCTCAGCAGAGAGGTTGGGTGGGGTAAGGACTGGGAAGGGCCCATTGAATGTGACCATGAGGGAATCATCCAGAAGGTTAGTGACAGCAATTTCTATGTATGTGAGAACCTGGAGGTCACAGAAAGTTGCTGTTGACACTGTGTGGAAGGTCAAAAAGTGTAGACAGCAAAAAGTGTAGACATCTGGAAATGCCGGATGAGAAAGGGAGGAGAGAGATTGGGTGGTAGCTGGAGAGGAATGTGGGGTGGAGGAAGTTTGTGTGATTAGCTCGTTTGTCGTGTGTGTGTGTGTGTGTGTGTGTGTGTGTGTGTGTGTGTGTGTGTGTAAGGATAGGAATTACTACAGCATGTTCACAGGAGGAGAGAAGAGCCAGGAGCAGGGAAAGGCTGAAGGTATGGAAGGAGAGAGGCGCTGATGGGGCAGGAGCCTGGCGCTAACAGGCGGGGCAGGGAGAAGGGTACAGGCACAGGCGGGGGTCGGTCTGCGGGGGGAGGGCACCAGTCCTCAGCACCGGCACCGGAGAGGAGGGCAGCCGGGGGGGGGTCCAGAGGGAGTGGGCAGGGAGGCGAAAGAGGCCAGGTTGGCAGGCAGTGATATTGTCCATGAAGTAGGAGTTAAGACTGCTGAGCTTGAGAGCTGGACTCAGATCCCTGAAGTTCGGAGCAAGGTGTACTCTGACCCCAGATAAAACAAACGATTCCATTCCTTTTCCACTCAGCCCCAGCCCCATGCCTCTATTTTTATTAGCCTACGGCAGGCCTGGTTTCCTCTCTTCTTCCTCCCAAACCCAGGAGACGGGTGCCCATCCCCAGACCCTCCGAGGGGGCGTCGCAGGGCCCCCACTCAGGCTCCGGGCTCCAGCTGTGACTGGCACAGGGAGCCGCAGGAAGGCAATGCATAGAGGAGCCTGCCCTGCACCGTCACTGTCCTTTGGCCTGCAGCCAGCGCCGAGACACGCCCGCCCACTGGGGCTGCACTACCATCTCCCCGGAGCCAATGGGATGCGGTGGGGCCGACCTCCTGCGGTGCTCTCTCCTCCAGACATTAAGAGGCGCAGGCCAGCTCGCAGGCCCCGGGGGATTTAAAGAACCACAGACCAAGTGCCAACACAGTGCCTGCGCATCGTATACCCAATAACTGTCTGTAGCACAAATGAATGAGGAAATCAAAATCAAAACATCTCTCTCCAGACTTGTTGAGAAAAAACTAAGTAAAGGGAACTAACGTTTCTCAGTTCCATGGTGCTCTGTGCCAGGCACCAGGCTAGGCGCTGCCACTTACTTTTTGAAGT